CAGTCGTCCAGACGACTGAAAACTAGCTCAATCTGACTCAGACAACTTACATGGGCTAAATTCGTAAAAATATCTTCTGTTTTTTTGTTTGGTCACAAAGGACTATACTGTAATTTCATACCACTTTTAGGTTAGATTTGCATTTGATTGAAGTTTGGGTCTAGTATTGGGGTTAAAACCAAGTTGTAGGTTAGTTTTGGCAAAAACCCCTTAGGGTTTAGTGTTTTAGTATCAAATATATTTTTTTAGTTTTTTTTCGTTTTTTTTAATATTATTATTTTTTCTATTTTTATTTTAAAAAAAGAATCTATCTTAACAAGATTTTATTTCCTTTTAGAAAAGATATCAAATATGAAATAACACCATTCTATTGGTTCTGGAATTGAACGACATGTTAGTTTTTTATTTAACTTACAAATGCAATCTATACTATTATTTGTGAAGTTATTTTTGCAACAGAGCTCTCACGTTAAAAATTGGAGTAGTTAATATCATTTATATTATTAATGAATAAAACATATAAATCAGTCAAAAATAAAAATGAATTTAATATTTATTTGATTAGATAAATGATTTAAAGCAATAATAATGATAAGAATTATCCATAATCTAAATCTATATTTAAAAATAAAAAATATAATTCATATACATATTGTGCTCTTATCTAGAAAATATATTTTGATAAAATAAATTCAAAAATAGAAAACACATAAATAAATATAAAAAGTAAAATATTTAATTGTATATAATTGAAAAGAGAAAATTGAAATATTTATAATTAAATTTATTTTTATATTTTATATAGTTAAACCATAAATATGAATTAATCATAATAAAATAAAAGATCATTCAAAAAGAAAGAAAATACGTGCGTGACAATAATAAATTCAAATATATTATATTATTATCCAAGCTAATATTATTCTTTTTGTAAGATCAATTTTAAAATATATATTTATAGATTCAATTTTCAAATTGAAAGGTAGATAACAAATAATCATTTATTTCGATGATTTTCTAAATTTACTTAAAGATAATTAATCCTTTTGGGCTTGCTCCTCTGATTGTGTCCAGCTAGAAACTCACGTATATGATCCTTGTCAAGACATAACTTTAAGGCCCACTTATACGTATATATATAATCAACATGTTAATTTATTGTCAAACCGACCTTAGCTCAGTTGGTAGAGCGGAAGACTGTAGTGGGTAATCCCAAAGAAATCTTTAGGTCGCTGGTTCGATTCCGGCAGGTCGGATTCTTTTTTCCTTTCTTCTTTATATATATCTATGGGACCCACATCCAACTAGCTTTTGCTTCCCATTCATCTCGCGTGCGTAAACCGTTGATTAACCAACCCCCAGACGTTATCTACGACTACGCGTAACAGATCATTCACCATTTCTCGAAAATCACAGATTAGCCCAAAATATATCCGATACGTTCAGAAAATCCCTTTTTGATTCAACATCCAGACGTTACAGATCACTAACTATTTCTTGTAATTCACAGATTGGTCCCAGAATTCACGGACACGTCAACATGATCCTTTTTAGATATTTTCTTGCCACGTGTACCTCCTCCTCCCTCGTATACAAAACAATCTCCAAAAGCAGTTGAGAAAAAAAAAACAAAACGAAAATGGAGAAACTAACTTTCCTCTTTCACATCGTCGTCTTCATCGCTTGTACATATCCATCTTCATCTACTCTCCTGAACGATCGGAGCTTCGAGATATCGAACTTGCCTTCATCGCGCGCGGAGAAGCTGATCCGCGAGCTGAACCTTTTCCCGAAGCTTGACGTGAACGTGATCGATGTCGGTGATTCTCCCACTCTCGCTTCCGCGGAGGAGGTGCCTTCGATTGTTGAACGGAACTTCAGATTCCCGAATATTGTCTCCGATGGCGGCGCTACTGTCGAGGATTTAGGTCATCATGCTGGTTATTTCAAGCTCCCGAAATCTAAGGGCGCAAGGTTTATATCTAATCGTAGCTTCTTGTTGTTCATAAGCTTACTCATAACGGTTCATGGAATACGATCTGTGCATTAGTATCTGATTTGGTATGCTATTGACTAGGTTGTGTGTTTAGGTTGATCTGAAGATTGTTGCTAATAGGAATCTCGATTAAATGTTTGTTCACCTAGTTGATTCTAATAGTAGATTTTTTTGTTGTTCATTTGAATTCGAAGCTTGCTGAACACCGGTTCGTGTGGATTTGGTATCTGATTAGCTATGCTTAGTTGAGAATCTGCAGTTAGCTCTTGACTAGTTTGTGTGCTTATGTTGATCTGAACATTTTTGCTCCCAAAGGCAATCGTTGAGTGAATTGTATCTTTTTGGTGTTACTAAATAGGAATGTCGATTAAATGTTTGTTCACCTGATTTGATTGGTGGTGTTTAGGATGTTTTACTTCTTCTTTGAGTCACGCAAGAAGAAGGATGCTCCTGTTGTGATTTGGTTGACCGGAGGGCCTGGATGTAGCAGTGAATTGGCTATGTTCTATGAGAACGGTCCTTTCAAGATTGATAAGAACATGTCTCTTGCTTGGAATGAGTATGGATGGGATCAGGTATTACCTTTTACATATGATACTTGTAAACTAAGCTTCATGGTCGAAGACTTTGCTCATGAGAGTTAATTGAGAGTTTATCTTGCAGGTTTCCAATCTACTGTATGTTGACCAGCCTGTTGGAACTGGTTTCAGCTACACCACTGACCAAAGTGATATCCGTCATGATGAAACTGGAGTCAGTGATGATCTGTATGATTTTCTACAGGTCTGGGATTAGATATTCTCAAACTTGCATCCAAGCTTTGACTTGGATAAAACTTCTTTTAGATTGTTATGGTTTATTTTTCTGTGACAAGATGGTGATTGTGTTTCCTCATGTTATCTCAGGCATTCTTTGCTGAGCACCCTAAGTTGGCAAACAACGATTTTTACATAACTGGAGAGTCATATGCTGGGCACTACATTCCGGCATTTGCCGCCAGAGTTCATAAAGGAAACAAGGCTAATGAGGGAGTTCATGTTAACCTTAAGGCATGGGACTGTTTCTTTCTTTATTCTCCTAAGGTGTTAATGTGAGGTTGGTACTTACAATTATAGTCTTGCAGGGATTCGCCATTGGAAATGGGCTTACAGATCCTGCAATCCAATACCCAGCCTATCCTGACTATGCGTTGGAAATGGGTTTGATTACGCAAGCAGAGCATGATCGTTTAGAAAAGATTGTCCCACTGTGCGAACTATCCATTAAGCTTTGTGGTACTTCTTCCGTTCATTATAAAGTTATGTATCCATGTGTTTTGATGGATCCTAAATTCATGCTTCATTGTTTTTTTTTTTCAGGAACTGATGGAACAACTTCTTGTTTGGCGTCATATCTTGTTTGCAACACCTTGTTCACTGGTATAATGAAACATGCTCGTGGAGTAAACGTAAGCCCAAAATTATTCACTTTCATTGCTAATTGTATAGATAATATTGTCTCTACCAACATCATGTGGATAAATGAGACCTTGGATAAACCAGTGCTAAGAGAAGATATCAGTTGTATAAAAGTATTTATGTTTAATCTTTTTGCATTTAAAGTAGTGATAACTTGACGCACCTTTTTGTGTAGCATTACGACATCAGGAAGAAGTGCGAGGGAAGTTTGTGCTACGACTTCTCAAACATGGAAAAATTCTTGAATCTACAATCGGTGAGAAAGTCGCTTGGTGTTGGGAACATAGAGTTTGTCTCCTGCAGTACTAGTGTCTATCAGGCAATGCTACAAGACTGGATGAGGAATCTCGAGGTTGGGATTCCCACGCTCTTAGAAGATGGAATCAACCTTCTTGTGTACGCGGGAGAATATGATCTCATCTGCAACTGGCTCGGTGAGTTCCAAAACCTAACATAATCAAATTCAGATATGAGAATTTGAACTGAACATATCAAGTTAACTAGTAAAAAGCACAACTGTTTTGGCATTTGAATATTTAACGCTAAATATGATCTCCATTTTGTGATACATGATAACAATTTGAGTTTATTGAATTTGGAGCAGGTAACTCGAGGTGGGTGAATGCAATGGAGTGGTCAGGGAAAGAGAAGTTTAAGGCGAGTAAAGAAGTACCCTTTATGGTTGATGGTAAAGAAGCTGGCAAGTTAAAGAGTTATGGACAACTCAGTTTCCTCAAGGTCAGTCTTTTCTTACACAAAACCAGTCTTTTTTCTGTTGTGCTGTTTGTCTTCTGTAGTATTGATGATTTGAAACAAAAATAAAAATAAATAGGTGCACGATGCGGGACACATGGTTCCAATGGACCAGCCAAAAGCTGCGTTGGAGATGTTGAAGGGATGGATGGAGAATTCGCTTAGTGGTGGAGATGGTTTGACTACTAGTACCACTACAGAAGGAGAGGATCTAGTTGCTCAAATGTGATCCCCTCTTATTTTTAAATTACATGAAAACCTAAAATAGCTGGCAACCAAAGAAACAATGTGGACTGTGTGTTGTGTAAACACTTTATATCTCCTTCTGTAACTGTATTACAATGTTTACAACATATTTTGCTTCCAATTTGGCATCGAAATCACATCAAACCGAATTAAACGTGGCACCGTGCTGTTAAACCGAAAATGTAAGAGCACCCCCATTGAAGGTTCATGGGGGGAGTTCACACGGAAATCAAAAAAAAAAAATAATAAAATAATAAAAACCTATGAATCGCTCTCTCCTGAGGTTCAACACATGCGGCTCGAGATTGGTCTAGATTTTTTTTTTTGTTTTTTTTTTTAAAAACAAAATCAAAAAGAAAACAGAAAACTTTTAATAATAAAAAAATGATTCAATGAACCCCAAGAAGGTTCATTGATGTGGATGGCCTAAAAGGCTAAAACCGAGTACAACAAAACACTCCTGCATGACACGTGACGAACTGTGATTTGGCCTGAAGAACAAATGTTATCTAACAATCAAGATACAGATAAGATTGGTGGAAGGAGCCATGTCGATCTCTTCTGCGTTGGGGTTTGCAATCTCAAAGCCGGCTACTTATTCTTCTTCTTCTTCTTCATGCACGAATTTAGTAAGCTCCCGCGTCTTTGGGATTGCTAGGTTTTCTTTGTCATGGGCACAGAACAAACCTCACCACACAAACACTAAGCTCAAGCAGAGGCAGAAGCTCTGTGTTAAAGGTTCAGCACAAGAGATTCCACAGAAACTAGAGGAAGATTCAAAGTTTGTACCTTTGGATCCTGAAGATCCTCTGTTCGGCCCTCCTGTCAGTTTCTTTCACTCTTTTAATCTTTGCCTGCTATTCAATTCTGCGACATAAACAACACTGCTGAACACATCTTCTTTGGCAGGTTTTGCTGTTGCTTGGCTTTCAAATTCACGAGGCACAAAAAGTAATATATAAACTGGAAACGGAGTTACATATCATCACTCTGCAAATCTTTCTGAGTCTTTGGATTAATCTATCATCTTGTAATGCAGATACAAGAGCTGCTTAAGGAACTCGATGGCGAATTCATGAAGGTAAAACGGGAACAACTTCCTCTTTCTGACTCTTGCATATTATGCCAGAATAATGTTGTTGTTGTTTGCTGTAAACTCCAGATTATGCTCTGTACAGAAGATATGATCCAACGTTCTCTATGGGAAGCAGTTAACACAAGACAAACTGACCTGAAGAGAGTGAAAGTATGTGACTTCCACTTTCCTGCATCAAAGTTCTTCTATGTTGTTGTTTTTGTTGTTTTCTTACATAAATCTGCTTGTGCAGGTTGCGGGGTCACTGCCACGGATCTGCTTCTTGTCTGGTTTGACAGGAGAAGAGATGATGATGTTCATTGATGCATTTCCAGAAACTGGTACCTTCTTCATATTCAAAATGCACTAAGAACAAAAAGAAAGCAGAATGACTTTAAAGAATGTCATTTAAAAAGCTGGTGGGTCAAATGCAGGGCTAGAACCAGCTGTGTTTGCAGCTATGGTTCCGAACAGTGCTGATAAACCCATCTCGGAGTTGATGGAAGAAATCATGGGAGATCATGAGTTGTTGGTTAGTGAATCTCAACAAGTGTCTCCTTTAAGCTATGGTCTTGAATATTGACACATTAAACAATCAAAAACACTTCTTCCGTATGCAGAACGGGAGCAGAACTGAAAATTTCGACTGAGGATGAACAACAGGACAGCTTTGGAGTTCCTCAGGCAGCATGGCTCTATAAGTTGGCTCGACATGTCTTTTGTTCCGCTATGTCATATAAAGAGTCTTGTGTTACTTTTGCATTTAGAAAACAGAAAATTTTATTCATTTTTATTAGTCTTCGTGTACATTACAAACACTACCTACGTGGATAAATAGTCAGTATTTGTCTGATAACATTAAAGTTACAATGAAAAGAGATACAAGAGACTCCATCTGTAAATAAAAGAAGTGGGATGAACTCTCCTGAGGCTTTTGAAATAGTAAGTCACATATCATACATTCATCATCGTGTAGTGAACTTTGCCTCCCCTACAGCTGCTTGTCTTGGGTCGGACAAGACCAGGGCTACATTTGCTCTTGTCTTCATCAAACCCTAAATTCTCCAATCATTTGCTTAAGTGAGCTTTTGTTCTTTCATTCATTCTGTCATCTTTTCATGGTCTCTCCATGTAAGGAACCAGCTACATGTTATCATCAATGTAAACTGATTAGAATTCCAAAAGGATTAAAACAATACTCCCAAGAGTGACATTAGTTAAGAAGAATGAATACCGGAACTTGATGCAACTCCTGTGCCCAACCATTTGCTTTCCTCTTGTGTGCTGCTGCTTCCTATCGCCTCTACTATTGTCGCTTGCTCAGATGCTTTGCCATTCCCTAAAGACTCATGTTTCATAGTCTCCGAGTCGCCATTATTATTTTGATTCAGCGGCACCGGTCCTTTAATCCTTCTTGTACAACAAACAAGATCTAAGAATGTCTACTGAGAAGTGAGAGAGATTATTTCACATAAGATCGTTTGTAATTTACCTGATCAGCTTCCGCTTCAATGCACCTGATTTTACTTTTAACATACCTTCACAACAGAGAGAAAAGGAAAAGATGCCATTACTGGTTCTATACAATAAGTATGGAGTGTAATCAAACTATGAATTTATAAGCTAACCAGATTTTGTGCCTGATGGTGCTGGCTTGCGACCGGTTCGCTCGGCCTTAATAGAAGCGATGACGGAATCAGCTCCTATTCCTAGACCTTTTCTTCCCACCAGCTTCACTCCAAGTGTCTCGCATAGATAGTAAAGTCTCTTTTCATCACCACCTCTGACTTCTCTCAGGTCAAGAGCCTGCTGTCTAGTCAATAACGTATACACCTGAATCTGTTGCTGCTGATTAAAATGAGACTGAAGCTGCTGAAACAGTATCTTGTTTGAGTACTGATCTGCTACTGGGTCATCGCTCCTCTTACAAGTCTCGCTTAGCGTTACTCTCAAAATCGCAGGAGACTTCGGGTCTGGATTCCTTCGACTAAATATTATGGAAAAACTCCCAAACTCCAAATCAGGGTCTCTGAACAGATCTGCAAGAAGGGTAGCACAACCGTGAGGGTTTTTTGAAGGGTTCCTATCGATTCTCTTCCTTATGCCCCGGGACTTCGCAGCTTGAGCCATGTTAGCAGCTTCACGCAGACCAGTAACAAAAGCTCCATGCATGGTTGCAGGGTACCGCCTTGTCGTGGCTTCACCGGCAAAGAAAAGCCTTCCATCTCCCACACTTTCTGCTAATATGTCGTAATCATCACCTGAAGCTCCCACTGCAACATTAGAGTAAGATCCGAAACTGAATGGATCCCCGCCCCACCTGGTGCAGACCGTTTGAATTGGATCAGGGACATTTATTCCTTGTGGTTCATACATACCTGAAATGAATCAGGAAGTAACGTGTGGCATACATTAGCATCTGATCAACCTTGAACTAATAATCTTGGACCTACATATCAGGTTTGGAATTTTAACTATATTAAAGCAGATTATGTCTCCTCACAGATGATAATCCGAATATATTAAATCTATTACCCCTCAGAATCTGAAGAACACGAGTCACTGCGTCAGTGGGTGGCATTGTCTCAAACTTATGAGCAGCTTCTCCCGCAACCAACGCGATCAACAGAGGACCCCCTGCAACTTGTGCATAGCTATAGAAGAGGAAGAATTCACCTCTATTACTTGGATCCTCAGTAAGATGTCCAAAGGTATCAAGATCTGTACCCCAAAATACAAACGGAAAAAGCATCGCAACTTTATTCAATAACCCAAAACCTAGTCTCTTAATACAATCAAGCTTCCTCTGAGGCAACTCCGGCACAAACTTGATGGATCCATTCTTAAGAACACCAAGGGGAACTGTACACAACACCATATCACCCTCATAAACTTGATGTCCAGCAGTTACCTTCACACCATCTGCACCATATCTAATCGTTTGAACAGTCTTCTCATACAATATCGGTACATTCTCCGCCAAAGCATGAACCAGCCTCCCATTTCCTCCAGGCAAAAAACAATGATCCCCACCCATATCATACGGATCATCCTGATCCCAAAACGCAAGAGAGAGCTTAGACACCAAACCCGCATTCGCATACTCCAAATTAGCAAGATGCCAATTAAACAAACTCATCTCCTCAGTAGCATCCCCATAAACCTGCCTGAACGTCTCAAGCGCCGCACCAAGCGACACATCCATCGAAACATCACCCATCAACTGCCTAAGCCTACTCGCCTTATCCAAAAGCCGGTTAAAAGCCCCCTCCACCTTCATATCCAAATCCGGATCAACAGGCTTCCCATCAACCCTATAGAGAGGACACTTATCTCTCACCTTGTAAAGAGAACACCCTAACTGCCTCGCTATAATCCCTAACGGATTCCCTAACGTCCCAGTCAAAACACTCCCTCCCAAATCCGCCGCCGCCTCCACTCTATTCCCTTCCATCTTCTTAGTATAAACCCTCCCACCAGGCCTCTTCCTCCCCTCCAAAACCGTCACTTTAAACCCAAACCTCATCAACTGCCTCGCCGCAGCTAAACCAGACAACCCGGCACCAACTATAACCACACTAGGAGGCTTACTACCCTGAACCGGAATCTTCTCCTTAACCGCTTGCGATATACCGAAATTGATATAACCGTGCAAAACCAAGTAATCATAAGCTGAATCCAATAGACTGATACAATGCTTAGGAATTAAATTTAAAAACATTTCCTTTGTGATCCAAGTGGAGATATTCTCTCTCCATTTCGATATTATATGGTTTCGAATCAAAATGTAATTCACTTGCTCGATTCCTCCGACGACGGGGACCACGCCGAACTCGATCTCCTCCTCGGTGAGTGAATCGGCTGGGAAGCCGGCCGTGAGAGCGAGGAGAGCCTCCGTGGTGGCTTCTTTGTTGATTGTGATGATCTCGTCTCCGATCCCAGGGTTTGATCTGGTGATATCTAGGTTTAGCTTAGATGAGTGTGGAGAGGGTGCGAAGGTGTGAAACGACGACGTTGAGCGTTGAGATCGGCCTCTTCTTCGTTTCTTTGGCGCGGAGAAGGAGACTATTTGCTCGAAATTAGGGTTTGGGATTGAAGTTGGAGAAGGAATTGGAGTTTGGTCTGGGTTCGATTGTGGGGGAGGAGTGGGGAGATGAGTGTGAAGTGGAGATTGAGCATTGTCTTGGTTGTTGTTATCCGGTGGATTCATTGTTTCACCGTCGCCGTCGAGTTGCAGGGAGCGTCGTGGTCGACGAGGAAGGAAGATAGACGGAGAAGGAATAAAAGTTAAAAAAAAACGTTTTTCCATTTGGTAAAAACGTTTTTAAGGCCCAGTTTATTCTGTAAAGCCCATCAGGCAACACGTTTTATATTAACACATTCGAGTAGATTTTGTTTGTCCATGTGTATGTATTATCTTAGTGTGATTATTGGTTTTGTGTATGTATTATCTTAGTGTGATTATTGGTTTTGTGTATTTTGATGTATTTATAAATCTACAGTATATTAATGCTATTTATGTTAAAATTTTACAGTTTATGTTGAAATCATATGTGTTATTGATTCTGTGTTTTATAGAGCTTAATTTAAATAGTATGTTATTCAAATCAGTTGGACTTACTGTTAAATTTGATTGTCATAGTAGATCCTGGTAGATTTGAAATGATTTCTTTGTTAAAAATATATGCTTAATTAAAAAAGCTTAAGAGTTTATAAAAATTTCATGAAAATTAATTTTAAGTTTTTAACACAGGATTTTGAATTTGTATTCCAAAAAAAAATTTCCATAAATGTTCAAAATACAAGATAGCAAATTTGTTAGCTAAGATAGGAGAATATTTCATAAACTTTTATATTTTTTGGTTGTTTTATTTTAATCTGATTAAAATAATCGTAATATTAAATAACAGAAGCTGTTTGATGTGGAAAAAAACAAATTTTCTATGTATCAAATAATAATATGGGGTATTTTTGTCGACATAATATGGAATATATTTTACCGCAAATTCGGGTAAGAATATATAAGGAATGATTTGGTGAATATTTATAAAAGAATCAAAAATAAAGAATATAGCCACAGATAATTTGATGTGACAATTAGTGATGATTCTAAATGGTTTTCTCATTTCACGCGTTTACTCATCATTAAGAGGCGAGTAGATCATTTGTACCATTTTGTACTATATTTTGGCGCGGAGAAGGAGACTATTTGTTGGAAATTAGGGTTTGAGAATGAAGTTGGAGATGGATTCAGAGTCGGGTCCGGGTTGGGATTTGAGTTCGATTGTGGAGGAGAGGGAGTGGGGAGATGGGGGTGAGGTAGAGATTGAGCATTGTCTTGGTTGTTGTTATCTGGTGGATTCATGGTTAAACCGTTGTCGTTGAGTTGTAGTGAGCATCGTGGTCGACGAAGAGAGAAAGATATACAGAGAAGGAATAAAAGTTAAAAACGTTTTTCTATTTGGTAAAAACATTTTAAGGTCCAGTTTCTTTTACAAAGCACATTAGGCAACATGTTACATTCGACTAGGTTTTGTTTATCCATGTGTATGATTGTCTATTCAATTTTCATATATTATGGTTAAACCGTTGCCGTTGAGTTGCAGGGAGCGTCGTGGTCGACAAGGAGAAGAAGATAGACGGAGAAGGAATAAAAGTTAAAAACGTTTTTCTATTTGGTAAAAACGTTTTAAGGCCCAATTTCTTTTACAAAGCCTATTAGGCAACACTTTACATTCCACTAGATTTTGTTTATCCATGTGTATGGTTGTCTATTCAATTTTTATATATTATCTTAGTATGGTTTTCAGTATTTTGATGTATTTATAGATCTACAGTATTAATACTATTTATTTTAAAATTTTACAGTTTATGTTGAAATTATATGTTATTGATTCTGTATTTTATAAAGCTTGCATGAATTAAATAGTATGGTATATAATCAAATGGGTTTACTACTAAATTTGACTGTCACAATAGATCCTGGTAGATTTGAAATGATTTCCTTGTTAAAAATATAAACGAAATTTAAAAACTTAAGAATTATAAGAATTTCATAACTTAATTAGGTTTACAGTGCAAGATTTTGAATTTCTATTCTACTAGGAGCACTTACATAACAATTTTCATAAACGTTCAAAAAATAAAATATCAAATGCATTAACCATAGATAGGAAAAATATTTATATTTTTAGTTGTTTTGTTCAATCTGATTCCTAAATTTATCTCAAAACTAAATAAATAAATCAGACATTTGATGTTAAGGAAAACAAAAATGTGTAAATACAACACATTCAGATAAGACATCTTTCTTGTGTCACTTTATTTTTGTGCACACTGATTTTTTTAAAAAATATTTTTTATATAAAACATAATTATTCATATATTTAACCAAATTGCAATCAATAAAAAATAAATTACATAATAAATTTGATAATTTTTTCATTGAAAACTGTAAAAGACACTTATTTTGTAACAAATTTTTTTTTGCTGCTGTCACTTAGTATAAAACAGCGGGATTATAATTTTAATCTTATTCCCTCTACTTACGGATAATCCATAAAACCTATTTTATTTGATAATTATATGTTATTAATATTTGTCTGTGCGACTAATTTCCTTATAATGAAAATTAATATTGGGGAAAAACAGAAAGGGTAATTCTCTCAATTTGACTATTTTTAAGTTTTTTATCACAAAATATATATTAAATAAATGTGCTTATTTAATACCCAAATTTTGTTTATTTTAATTAACAATACTAATAAGTTTCCAATTAAATTTTAAAATCTCTAAACTCTACAAAAAAATAATTTTATTGTATGTTTGAGAAATGAAATTAAATAATTTTTTTAATAATCTTAAGTTTTGTCATAAGTTTTCTAAGTTTTATATATTGAATTTATTTTCTTTTCTGAAATAAAAAGTAAATTATTTTTTTTCCTTCAGAATTATTCTTTTTTAAACATTTAACAGAGTTTATTTACCTTATTTCTTAAATATTCAAGTAAACTTAGAAATTTTAAATATTTTTTCTTAGATTTTGGAGATTTTTTTAATATTTCGTTTGAAACTTATTAGTATTGTTAATTAAAATAAACAAAACTTGAGTATCAAAATGAACATAATTATAAAAATTTGTGTATTAAAGTGGGTAAAATAAATTTTATGCATCTGAATTTCATATTTTAAAATTTTATGCATCTGAATAAGACTGCCAATAATTTAAATATTGATAGTCATACTAGAAATGTTTTTCCATGGTTATTGTGGGAAATTTGGAAAGCTAGGAATGCTTTTACTTTTGAAAACCAAGTAATTGACGCTTTGGTCGTGGCTAAGAAAGCCTATGAAGCAGAATCAATTTGGTTGGATACTTTCACCGTACAAATTAAGGGGGTTACTCGTATTGATACATAAATGGTGAGATGGAAACTTCCGTCCATGGGTTTCCTAAAATGTAATATTGGATCATCATTGGTGAAATCTAATCAACCTTCTGGGGTTTTATGGGTTTTACGGGATGAAAATGGGGTTACATTTATGTATAGTCGTCGAGTTTACTCTTACATACGTACAAAAACAGAAGTGGATTTATGGGCTCTGTTCTGGGCGGTCGAATGTATGGATAATTTACATTACTCAAATATTTTTTTTGAGACATAGTCCGATTACCTCCATGATGTTTTCACAAAGCCTGATAGCTAACAACTCCATGATTTCAACCTCATCCGCCACAATATCATCACTCTATTAGTAAGGATTGACACATGGAGCTTAGAACATGGTTTCCAGGAGCGCAATGAAGCGGCTGCGGCAATTGTTCTAAGTGTCACCCGTGATCAACGTCACCAATCGTACATCGCTATATTTGTTCTGGTGTGGATTCATCATCTTCTCGCTTTGGAGACTCAAAAGTAAGAAGTTAATTGGGTGCAGTTCATTTATCTTGTTGTTGATGTCTATTGACATCTCATTTATTTCTTCCTTATGCATTCCATGTTTTATGTGCTGGACATGTCAAATCATAAGTGTTATAAAAAAAAGTGGGTAAAATAATTAGTTAAGGCTTTAATTTGGATAGTGAAAAAGTTTGAATATTAAAAAACTTGATAAAATTTACTTGGGGTTATTTATATGGAATTTCCCCTTTTTTATTTTGATGATCTATCATTTTTTGTGTCAAAAACTTTGGAAGAAATATGTTAGGGAATTTTGCCAAACAGAAAACAAGGAAAAATCAGAAGCTAAAAACAATTACAGAAGAGAAAAAGTTTAGAATTTGGTAACGAGAAGAAGAAGAAGAACAAGGCGTTTAGATAGATAGATAGAAGCTCTCCCATTTTCTCGGGGACGCACTCATAACATTCGTATCCCAGGTAACTTTCGGCAGCTGAAAATCCATTCCGTCTTCACGATTTTGTCTCTCTACAGTGTTTGATTGCTATTTCCATTCACGATTTTTTCTCTCTCTGCGTATCGTTAGATCTTTCGCTATGATTGCACGTTTACAATGTCTTATGATCACTTGAATTTGTGTCTCACATGTATGTGTTGAGTTTTGAACCTTTGCTTTCAGCTACAGAGAGCTTTGATTGCAATGTGCTGAGGATTTCTCATTTAGGCTCGAACAAGGCAACTGATCGCAAGCATGGGGATTTTTAACGACTTGCCTGTTCCCTCGGATAAAACTGTTGAGTCCACACTTTCTTCACTCCACCCCTAGCTAAATTAAAATAACCTTAAGTTCGGCCTTAGAAGGAGGAAGTTAGAAAATCGTCTGGTTCAACAGTGTTATTTCATCACCTTAGGAGTTTAAAGGGACATTAATGTCTTTTGTTTTCTTTATTTTAATCATCATGGGAGAGTTGAGACAGGGGCTAGATGGTATTAGTAATAGGCTTAAACTCACACCCAAAAGGTAGTTCAAGAGTGGAGGATTGCCGCAAACTTATGTATTAGTACAACATTTTATCAATGTGTGACTGCCCAAAATTTTATCACTTCTTTCGATTTTGTTTTTGGAGTACATGTGTGTGTGCCTTAGTGATGATTGTTATTGCAGTACCTGAGGGAGGAGCTGGCACGAATAGATGAGAGCTGGGCTGCTGCTCGTTTTGACTCTTTGCCACATGTTGTCCATATCCTTACGTCTAAAGACCGTGAAGCTGACATTCATGTATTAAGGGAACAAAGCGATGTTGTTGAGGAGGTTGTGGATGAAGTTGTCCATGCTTATCATGGTGGTTTCAACAAGGCCATTCAAAACTACTCTCAGGTTTCTAATATCTGCTTAGCTCTTCCTTTTTATTGGACAGAGCCTCCCTTTTATTGGATAGAGCCTTTATCTTATCTAAAGCAGCAACCAGATATCTGTCGCATAAACTTCTTTTACCGCTTATTTGCATTCAGATTGCGTGTCTAAATTTACAAATCTACTATCCCTACTAAGTAACGGCTCCTTTCTGTTATTTATAAATTTAGTTTTTCTTTTGGAATAATACTAGTCAAGAGATAATTTAGTTAGTAAAGGTTCATTTGGGAAGTAAGTTGATTTTGATTCTCTCGGTTTTTTACTTGTTTTGAATGTATTCTTCAGATTTTGCGTCTATTCAGAGAGTCCACTGAAAAATTAGACGACTTGAAGCATGATTTGGCAGATGCAAAGAAAAGCTTGGGTTCACGCAATAAACAATTACACCAGTTGTGGTACCGTTCTGTAACATTGCGGCACATCATCTCAGTGTTGGATCAAATTGAGGGCATTGCTAAGGTTGGTTGGATTAGCCATAACATTTTTGACAGTCCTATGTACTTGTGCTGCTCTGAAGTTTTGTACTTCATTTATGATTGCACTCTGTACTTCTGATGATACTTTTGCCTATATGTTTCCAATATTTATATTTAGCTTCTTTTACTTCGTGCTTAAAAGAAACTGCTTTTCTGGTGTGACAATGGTGGCTCTGCCTTTTGAAACTTTGAACAGGTTCCATCTCGTATTGAGAAGCTCATTGACGATAAGCAGTTTTACGCTGCTATTCAATTGTATCTCCAGTCGTCTCTGATGCTTGAGCGTGAGGGCCTTCAAACGGTAATTTCCTAACTGATTATGCTAGCAAATACTGGAAAAGCAATCTTATGGGAATTATTTTGGTCTTCCCATTCAATAGTCAATTTGATCTCTAGGACTGTTTTGTTACGATTCCGTTGAATGGGATCTGTTAACATTTAATTTTCATCGGGATTTCCTATTAATTCTGTTCGAGAGATCTACTGCTTACTTGGATGTTGTACTTATAGATATTCTGGTACGTTCACCTAGGTTGGTGCTCTTCAAGATGTCAGATCTGAGCTATCTAAGCTGCGAGGATCTCTTTTCTTCAAAATTCTAGACGATTTGCATGCACACCTATACAATAGAGGTGAATACAGGTAGGTTTGCTTCTATACGCAAATTTCAGAAGCTGTGCTGCTATTTACCCTTGGTTCCGGGCGCCTACTTGTCTGATAGTGTGTGTGATCACTTCGTTCAATCATCTATTCTTTACCTTGTCTATGCTGCAGTTCAGTGGCCTCAAGCATATATGAAAGAGATGATGAAGTACCAACAACAGCTGTTGCAGCCAGTCGAATGAGCTCACAACCACTTTCTCGTAGAACACGGACACTGAAAGGTGATAGTCAGTTTGGTGTTAGAGGGCTCACAAATGGTTCACAGAGAACGGCTTCTATTGAAGACGGGTAAAATTTAGCAATCTTTTACTTCAATTGATTATTTATGGGATATTAGGAATACAATTCTCGTGTAAAAAGATTCTTTTTTTACGGAGAGATCATTGTTATGTGTCTGTTTCGTTAAGGTTATTTATAAAGTTTCTTGCGGCTTTATTTTTAATATAGAGGTTGAGAGTTGCATTGTTTCTCTAATCATTGGAAGGAGGTTCTACTTGTAATTTCCTTCATTAAAATTTTTGTCAGTAAAAGAAAGTATGCTGTAAATTGATTATGGCTCTTGTTACTTTGTCAGCCTACTGCAGTGTGCTACCTTTTACTTTTTAAAAACATATTTTGCTTGTTTGTCATTTCCTGACCTTGCTAATGTGTCTTCTTTTATCACGTTTTTTTCATAGTTCATCATTTGATGGACATGACGAGGAGGACTCTGTGGAGCATGATGAAGCCACCGCAGATGGGCAACCTGTTGAATTGCTTTCATACCAACTTCCGCCTTGGCTTTCTGCTTCCTCTCCTGATGAGTTTATAGTACGTGCTTGTGAGGCTTATATAGCATATTTTGTGCCCATTTTTTTCACTGTTGCAACATTACCTTTTCTCATGTTTCAGGAAGCAGTAAGAAAGAGTGATGACCCACTGCATGTGAAGTATCTACAGACACTTGTTCAGTGTCTCTGCATGCTTGGCAAAGTTGCAGCGGCTGGTGCTATCATATGGTTCGTTTTCTAATATTTATTATTATTTTAAATTGGTTTTAGATATGCTACGATTTTTGTTTTACAGTTGGATAAAGTTTTAGAAAATTCACTCAGTATCTTTTAGTTGTTAGATCGCTAGCAGTGGCCTCATTTTGTTAGTTAACTTGTCATCGATGTCATCACTAGATATAATCTTTATTACATGCATTGTGTAATTTCGGGGAGGGGGGTAAGTTGTAAAAACTTATCATTCTTGAACTCAAAGATGGGGGGAAATAATTATATTCTGTTATATAGCTTTTCAAACTTCACTTAGTGATGTTTTGTGTTGTCTTGCAGCCAAAAACTTCGACCCACAATACATGAGATCATAATATCCAAAATTAAAGCCCATATGGAGACTAGAAATTTGTCAAAGTCCGTGAATAGTCAGGGTGATCGAACAGGAGCTGTGGGATTGCATATTATCAAAGGGCAGTCAGAGTCCTACAGATTATCAAAAGAGAAACCTCAAAGTGGGATGTCAAATTCAGGATCTCACTTGGCTGTGAGCCCTGTTTCGCCTCTTATGGCTCCTGGAGGCAAAGCACAAGCTGCAGCAAAAGACCTTCTTGACTCAATTTTAGATACTATTGTCAAGATATTTGGTGAGCAATCCAACTGCTAAATTCGTCTGAATATTTCATTTTCAATAATGAAAGCTTAAATGGTCTCTTACTGTTGCTTTTGTAGAGAATCATGTTGTTATTGGAGAGCTTTTGGAGTTGAAGGCTTCTCAACATGGCATTAACACACCAAAGTCATTGCCTACTGATGTCAATTGGAACACTGATTCCGAAGCATCCCAAGTTACAGGAGGCTACACTATCAGTTTACCCTTGACAGTCTTACAGGTCCGCTTAGAGATTCCAAAATATCTGATTTGTCATGAAGCTAAGTGTTATAAACTAGATTGAACGATTGGGTTCTAATACATAAGCTTATTCAAATTTTACGTTAACGTTGAAGAGTGAATGCCAACAACTCATATGTGAAATTCTACGAGCAACTCCAGAAACCGCTTCAGCAGATGCTGCTGCACAAACTGCTAAACTTGCAAAGAAGACTCCCAAGAAAGATAAAAGGCAAGTGATCCTTAGCATGGGTAGTTCTTACATGCAAGGAGATTGGTTTCTCATTATCATGTATATACATAGACAACGAAGCATGTCCCAAAGAATTAGACTTTTAAGATTTTGTTAAGTTAGGCGTTATTTCCATGACAAAGCATGTTTTCATGTCAGTCAACTGAAATGTTTTTTCGATAGTTTAGGAAGGATTATAGCATAGATTCCTTCTGATAAACTAGTAAGAAGGTTTTACGAAACCCAAGTCTAGAAATTTGCCATTTAGGCTCTTCTCAGCGCGCTAGTGAAGTGGAGCACTGAAGAAAATAACACAAATTTGAATGTGAAACTTTTCTGTTTGGTTAATAGTGTTGTTCTTGACTGATGAATGATGATGGTGGACGCAGGGGTGCACCTGAAGATGGGTTAACATTCACCTTTCGGTTTACAGATGCAACTGCATCGCTTTCTAATCAGGGTATTAATTAATCATCCTGACCTTTCTGTGGTTATAATGCCTTTGATGGGTTTAATGATGTTATGTGCTGCTGACAGGAGCTGATCTCATTCGTCAAGGCTGGGGAAAGAGAGCTCCAAATGCATCACAGGAAGGTTATGGATCTGCAGCAGTTTTGCCTGAACAAGGAATATATCTAGCTGCATCAATTTACCGGCCTATCCTTCAGGTTTGATTCTGGTTCATCTGAGCTTTTCCATTCAATGTCATCTGTTTTTCAGTAGACTTATGATCTTATGTACCTTGCAGTTTACCGATAAAATCACTTCAATGTTGCCCAAAAAGCATTCCCAGCTCGTGTAAGTTTAAAATTTCCGTTTGCCTCTACTGGCTGTTATCCTGACAAAGCTAAACACCTCGCTCACTGTGCTGAGAAGTTGCCTGTATTTTCACCATCGAGTTTTCAATACATGATTCAGGAACGATGGATTGCTTACATTCACGGAGAACTTTGTGAAAGATCACCTGTTACCGACAATGTTTGTGGACTATAGGAAAGGCGTACAACAAGCTATATCAAGTTAGTTCCGTAGACTATATTGATCTGATCATAGCGTCTTTTGTTGCTACTTTGGGGTAATTATCCTCTAAAGGTATACACAGTATTTCAACTTGAAAGGGGAGCTATTTATTTGGGGTTGGAGTTTTACCAACGCAAGCTGGTAGTAGAAGAATTGCTTGCAAAACTAACTGATTTGGTCTGTCGATATAGGTTATAGCAGTTTTATGAAAAGTTAAAGCGTCTTTGGAATTATTGCATATATTTGGAAAGCTTCCTTGGGTTGAATTTTTAATTGGAATTGTTCATTTCAATAGTTTATGAAAATGAATACCAGTAGTGTCAGTATGAAAACGATTTGATGTTCGCAAAACCATTTGCAGGTGCCGCCGCATTTAGACCCCGTGCACATACAACTTCTTACACGCCAACTGTAGAAAAGGGTCGACCTATCTTGCAAGGTCTTTTGGCTATAGATCTCCTTGCAAAAGAGGCAAGTTGTCTAGGCTTTTAAACTGGAAGCTAAACTTTGTTGCTTTTAAATTTTTTGTCTCCCTTAAGAAGAATGGATGGATACTTCAAGTTTGATTATTTAATCCATTTTTCGTGTTCTCAGCTTCATGATATTTTGCTATAATGAATTTCCTTGCTTTTTGCTTTTTTTTTTCAGGTTCTTGGTTGGGCTCAAGCCATGCCTAAATTTGCCACTGACCTTGTGAAGTATGTTCAGACATTTCTTGAGAGAACATTTGAGAGATGCCGAACATCATACATGGAGGTATGGGTCTTCCTCGTTTCTTATTTGTTGACACTTCTAATTAATTTATATGTTTACACCTGGTTTAAGGTGCTAAATAGTGTTCTTTTCAGTGTGATGCGATCTTTAAAAAAACAGTTGGAGTGTATTAATTAGATTACATGACCGGAGATTTAGAATCGACAATGTCTTGAACATCGTCGTGACGCTAAGCTAGAGTTCAGTTTGAGCTACGTTAAAACTGACGTACTTAAATTAAATAGCAGTATTATTCTGTTTCAGGCTTTTGGAATTGTCTTGCGTAGCCTACAGTGTAAATGTATGTTGTTTAACCAGCTTATGATAAGCCCTGTAGCCGAACTTAGCATTAAATGCTAAGAAACAGTAGTCCTGATAAAGTTTGATTTAAAGAGATATATAGAGAGAGAGGTGGAGGAATATGGAATTAGCCAATCTTACATGCGCCTATATCCATCTTTCATAATGTTCTGCATTTTCCTTCACTGTTTTCTTACGATTTCTATGCCTCAAGTATCCCAAAATGTAAAGCGATGTAATTCTTCCGTTGTGTACACTTTCTGAGCATAAGTTGATTGTTAATATATCAATATCAGGCTGTGCTAGAGAAGCTCAGTTACAGGCTCATTGGGAGGCATGATATTGAGAAATTGATGCGACTTGATGCTGCGAGTGTTTGTTTGCCATCTTCACTTGGCCATTCTGTTTCTCACTCTGAGGCTGTTGGCTCCGAAGTAGAACTCAATGTTCTATTCTTAAGTTTGCCGCCTATCAAGCAGGTAAATTTCATGTGTTGTCTGAAAAAACATTTGGTGAATATTAACTAACTATATTTCTTACAGGATAATCTAATTCGTGATGACAACAAACTGATTTTGTTAGCGTCTCTTAGTGACTCACTTGAATATGTGGCAGACTCTATTGAGAGGTGAGTTCTTTGGATCGGATTCTTTATGCATGCCTCTTCCTTTCATGTCTTGTTCCTATCTCTCAGTACATCTTCTTAGATGCTATCAGGACACAAGGCAAAATGGGAAGTTCTATGATTTTATAACAGAAGAAATAGGGACATGAAATAATATATGAAAGACACTAAACTAGATTGACTGATTGCTGTCTTTTCCATCTCAAATTTAAAGACACTTAGAAACCTCTGCGTTCATGTGAAAGAGAAACTTGCATGGTTTGATAGGTCTTCCTTTAGTCTGTCTTTCTTCCCTAAGTAGAAAGCAAATGAAAACTCTTTCTTAACTTTTAAATTCCGAAAATCTTTAGGCTTGGACAAGCAGTTCCTCGTGCGGCAAGTCAAGCTGAAGGTAATAGCACGAGTCAAGCAACTTCTCCTAGGAATCTGGCATCATTTGCTGATGAGTACAGAAAACTTGCGACTGATTGCCTAAAGGTTCTTCGTGTTGAGATGCAATTGGAAACAGTCTTTCATCTTCAGGTATGTGGACGATGTTCCCTCTGTTAGGAAGGTGGCGTGGCTATGAGAAATTCAACCTGTGGCCGGTAAAACTTACGAAATACTGTGGTGTTGAAAAGGAAATGACAAATCGGGAATACTTGGAGGATGAGGATGCTGAAGAGCCAGACGACTTTGTGATTTCTCTTACTTCACAGGTTAGTCATATCACGTTAATGAGGCCTTGTTTACTTTCATAGACATCAAATATTCACATCTCTCTCTTCTGCTGCGAGAGCCTAGTGAGCCAAATGACGAAGTCATCTCAATTTTATTGCGGTGAATTATATTTCTGCTCCAAGTTTTCTTACAGTTCCTTTTATCTAACAGATAACACGTAGGGATGAGGGAATGGCGCCTTTCATCTCTGGTGAGAAGCGCAATTATGTTTTTGGTGGCATCTGTGGAACTGCAGCAAGTGCGTCCATTAAGGTACACTTCTTTTCTTGTGAAATTGGTTTTTATTGTCTGCAATGGAATTTACAAGATCTTTGATCTTCTAATTAAAATATATCAATATATTACCATGTCACAATTTCTATATCTAGCACTTGATCATCATCGTCTAAACTGTTAAAGTCTTTAACTACCATATTTTTGTAGGCTTTGGCTGAGATGAGATCAATTAACCTTTTTGGAGTTCAACAAATTTGTCGGAACACTATTGCATTGGAACAGGTAATAGATCATCAGTCTTATTTAGGTGTCGAGTTCACTAATTGTAATCGCTTACAATAAGCATTTCACTGTCAACATTTATACATGGCAGGCCATGGCAGCTATTCCATATATCGATGGTGAAAGCGTACAACAGAACCTAGATCGTGTCCGTACTTACTTTGAGCTACTAAACATGCCATTCGAGGTTAGCCAAAAAAATAATGTTTCTTCTGGAGCTATTCTCAGCATTTCTTGTACTCAGATGATCTTTACTTGATTTTTCTGCAGGCGTTGCTTGCATTCATAGCGGAACATGACCAACTGTTCGCACACACAGAGTCTGCTTCTCAACTTGATATCTTTTTCGATTGAAGCTAAATAATCTGGTTTCTTCACTTATTATTGTATATGATGGGCTTTGCAGGTATTCAAATCTTCTGAAGGTGAATGTTCCTGGAAGAGATACTCCTCCAGATGCTCAACACCGCCTTTCGGAAATTCTTTCTCACTAAAATCAAACTCGCCGGAGCCATTCGCCACACTGGTAATAACACAGAAGAGATTCTCCCGCAGCCAATCTGTCGTTTTCATTATCTTCATAAGCTGCAGAACAATCACAATGATGAAATTCCGAAGGAGAAGCAAGATACATAACAGTGCAATATCTTCTTGGTGCTTCTGCTGCAATAATAGCCTGGTTCCATTATTTTTTCGTTTATTTGTTCTCTTTTTGTCCTGTATACAGAACCAAAACCTTTCTTTAAGAGCTTTCTTTTTTTGTTTAAATTCTTTGGTAGAGGTTTTGTTGCTTGTATAAAAACTTTCTTAGGTGAGTTACATTTGCCTTCCTAGTGAAAAACAAAAATAGAGGAGAAAGCTACAGATATCTACCATTCATCTTGATTTGGAACGTTATAAGACATGACACGACACTTCAGATTTAAACAGACACTACTCAGAAAGTACTATTCACTTCGTGAGTACTATTCACTTTGTAAACATGATGTTGGTTTCAGCTATGAATCTCACTTCACTCTTGATTGTATTGAATACAGCATGAATTAAATTGAGATGATCGAAAATATCATCTGAATCTAGAGATTCTTGATTTCAATAACAAAACCCAATCATTACTTAATTATCTTATAGATTCTTAGAGAATGATATAACACGGTCTCGTAACTTAAGACTATTAGTATATATAAAAATAAAAAAATAACAAAAAGACAAAGAAAAGAGACATATCCGAATCTAAATACAAGTAGAAGAATTACAAGAGAGAGAGGGAGAGGATGAAGGCGATCTCAGACTTCCATACTTCTTCTTCTTCGCTTCTTCGATCCCTTCCCAGTTTCTCACCATCCTCTTAGCGTTTCTCCTTCTTCATCTTAAAGCCTGAATCGCTCGTCTACGATAAGATCTTACGTACACATTCTAATCCAAAGGTAAATCACTTTGATCGCGATCGGATTCTCTCATCTCACATTTTTTTTAATGAATACTCTAATTAGGTTTTGATTACGTCTCAATATTCGATTTTAGATGAAGGGAAGAGATTTTAACTGAATAGTTTCTACACGTACACGAGAATCAAAACATGAATCGAGGATCCAATGTCACCGATCTCGAAGATCGATTCCAGCGAGAACTCGAATCCCTCCTCCAACAACATCGTAACAACCAAACATTCACCTCGCAACGCGAACGTGACGTGGACGTACACAGAAGCGGAAGCGCGCCACCGACGGTTGAAGGTTTGTTACGAGCAATGGATAATCAATACTTAAACAACAACAACCACAACAACAACAACAGCTCTGATTACAACATTAGAGACGCTTCGAACGTTGGCGTGGAGCTTTTATCCGACGACGAGTTACGTTGGCACCCAGCGTACCTCTCGTATTACTATTCGAACGAGCATTCGAATCCGAGGCTGCCTCCTCCGTTGCTGTCTAGAGAGGATTGGAGAGTTGCTCAGAGGTTTCATAATGGGGAGTCTGTGTTTGATCCGGTTGGGGAGTGGAGGAAGAAAGGTGAGAGTAGCAGTAACAGCAACAGCAATAACAACAACTCGTCGTCGCTTTTTACTGTTCAGCCTGGTGTTGAGCAGGCGGAGAGTGATTTGATGGAACTGAGGAATGCTGTTGCTCAGGGACGGTCGAAGAATACCACTGTGCAGAGGTTAGATCCTGGGCTTGGGCCCAGGAGGAAGAGTTTCGCTGATATACTTCAGGTAATGTCAGGAACCAAGCCTAATGAAACATTGTCTTATGCCCCCAAAACATTTTGAAGAAAATTATTTAGACCATGATTAACCCCAGTCTCTTAACTGGGTTCTCAGATTCGGCTAAGGAAGTCATTTAACCGAAAATGTAAATAAAATAATGTCAAATCATGAGTTAAGAACCCCGGTTAAGAAACCAAGATTAATCATGTTCTTAGATGAAAGTCCCAAAATTTTGTTATTAAGTCACCAAATTTGTAAAAAAAAGAAAATTTAGCTTAAATCTTTAATAAATCGCATATGACCCCTAAGTCTCAGGGTTGGTCCACCGGTCATGAGCACATGCCAGTCAAGCATTGGCCTATGACCCTCAAATTTTTAAAAATGTATAGAATAAATCCCGTTTTGTGAAAAAAAATAATTATTGAAATTTTTACTAGATAATTTATGCCCCAAAATTTCAGGGCCCTGGGTAATGTCTATGTATTTGTTGGTTATATTCATGCTGTTGAGTATATGTGCTAAGCTTTGAGGTGTCTGGTTAATTATACTTGATTGATTTGTAACTTGGTGTCTGGTTAATTATACTTGATATATTTGTAACTTTTACAGGAAGGGCTTGATCGTGATGCAGCCTTACGCAGCCAACTCTCTCGGCCAGCAAGTTGCAACACTTTCCGTGACATGAATGATCCTGCTGTCTTAACGAGTTTTGGTCCGGGTGGATTCGACAGCCCGTTAGCATTTCATGAAACATTACATTCTGGTGGACAAAGCACTCAAAATACTATGCTGGGATCTAACATGAGTTCTCCAGTGCCGAGGAATAGAACTCCCGAGTCACATCTAGTAGGGCGAGCTTCGGCCTCTGGTTTGCCCCCTATTGGTACCAGAGTGGGTCCTGTAGAGAAGAAGAATACGTTTGGCTCAGGCATCCACACTGCTGCTGATGTTGCTGACACGCTGTCAAGGTTGAACATGTCAGAGATGAATCATGTCAAAGATAACCTTATGCAGTCCCAGCTTCAGGTGGAATTGGAGAATCAGTCTGATGTCATGCGTTACATACCCAACGGTCATAAGAAGGCGCTGCGTCAACAGAATATGACAGAGTCAAACGATCAGTTATTTCCTGCAAATTATGGTGGAATTATGAGTGGCTATGGAGCAAGCCTTGGTGCTTCTACGGTGGCTTCCCACGGACAAGTTAACATCCCTAAACGAGCCTCCTCTTCAGCGAGTCTTTACTCGACTTCAGACCACTCTAGATTGGGAAGCCTGGGATTATCTGATGTCAATATTCGGAATGCAAATATCAATGGAACGGACTTCTCCACAGCTGGTGGTTATTTGGTAAACAACAAGTTGAATTCATTAGCTGAGCTCTATTCTCCTGAAGGTACCTCTCTCCCTAGCTCTCTCACCTCTTACTCTCATAAGCACAAAAGGTGTATTAATCTATTTGATCTATCCTTTTTCAGGCTCACATTTGACTGGGGAAGGGGACAGACAAAGCTTGAATAGGCTGATAAACCAAGCTGCTTCTGAGCTTCACTCTCCAATTATGGACCCCCAGTACAGCCAGTATCGGCATACGGCATCAGCTACTGGTGCACCAAGTGATCATCCTCGTCTTAGAAACAGTCTCGGGATATCAAACGGAGATACAACTAATGAATACCTCGCGCTGTTACTTGCTCAGCAGAGGCATCAGATGGGTAATATCAGTGCTGCAAATTCCAGATTGTTTGAGAATCCTCCATATGATCTTGGCAGCATGTATCTGGGAAACCATTTACCTTCTCCTTCCAAGAATTCAAGAAATCTCCAGAACATGCGAATGTCACAATCTACTGCATCAATGATGAAAATTCCTCTTGGAGGGTTACAGGGATCTTCCCATGTAGATATTGGCAGCGTAACCGAAGTATCCTTACTAGAAGGGTTCAAGAACAACAAGACAAGGTCTTTGGAGCTTTCAGAAATAGTTGGGCATGTGATTGAGTTCAGGTATTAATCTTGCCTTACCTAATATACTTCATTTAAGTTACTAGTTCACTTTTGTTTTCCTTTCGCACTACGTGCAGCATGGATCAGTACGGAAGTCGTTTCATTCAGCAAAAACTTGAGACTGCAACAGATGAGGAAAAGAATGCTATATTCCCTGAGATACTTCCTATTGGTCGCACTTTAATGACAGATGTCTTTGGAAATTATGTCATTCAAAAGGTAAGAGCTGTAGCATCCAGATCATTTTTTTTTGCAAATGGCTATATATATGTCACTATACTCATACGTTGTTCTGTTTTTTTACTTTTTCTGTTTAGTTTTTTGAGCATGGTACAAACAAACAGAGGAAAGAACTCGCTGAACAAGTTACTGGCCACGTTTTGGCTCTCTCTCTACAAATGTATGGCTGCAGGGTTATCCAAAAGGTACTTGAAACAAATACATTGTTTTGACCCTGATTGTTACATAGTGGTAAGGGTCTTATAGATAGGCTTTTAAATCTTTTGAGCGTGTCCCTATCTTATTTCTGCGATATTGATACAGGCGTTGGAGGTGGTTGATGTGGAGCAGCAAACTCGAATGGTGCAAGAGCTTGATGGGTCTGTCTTGAAATGCGTTCATGATCAGAATGGTAATCATGTGATCCAGAAGTGTATTGAGCGTCTTCCTCAGGAATGTATACAGTTCATTATTTCCTCATTTTACGGGAAAGTCTTAGCTCTTTCAACACACCCTTATGGGTGCCGTGTAATCCAGGTCTGATATATATTTATATACATCACTCCTTATGGTTGTTTTCTTGTCCGCTATTAACAATACTTGTAATGTGCTTCTTTGGAATCACGGCAGAGGGTACTAGAGCATATTGATGACATAGAAACCCAACGGATCATTATGGGGGAAATCATGGATTCAGTCTGCATTCTAGCTCAAGATCAGTACGGAAATTATGTTATTCAGGTACGTTTCTTAATGCTTGATTTACATTATTGGTGCCTGTAATTAGACACCCTGATAATGGTTAACCTTGCTTCCCGTTGTAGCATATTATACAACACGGTAAACCACACGAACGGTCAGAAATCATCAATAAGCTTGCTGGGCAGATTGTGACAATGAGTCAACAGAAGTTTGCTTCTAACGTTGTTGAAAAGTGCTTAACATTTGGTGGTCCAGAGGAACGTCAGGTTCTAGTGAATGAGATGCTTGGTTATACTGATGAAAATGAGCCTCTTCAGGTCGTCAACTAAAACAAAAACAAAAACTTTGCTCCCTTTATACCTTTCTGCAGTGTTTCACAAGTCTCCCACTAACGCTGAAACAATTTGCAGGCGATGATGAAGGATCCATTCGGGAACTACGTAGTGCAGAAGGTTCTTGAAACATGCGATGATCAAAGCCTTGCACTCATTATTTCTCGCATCAAAGTCCACTTAAATGCCTTGAAGAGATACACATATGGGAAACACATCGTTGCCCGGGTTGAGAAACTTATCACCACTGGTGGTAAGTATTTCTTCTATCTCTATATAAATTAGGTATCACAGATCATGGACACCTGATCATGAACATGTATCATTTTTTTTTATGCAGAGAGAAGAATCGGGCTCTCGTCATCTCTAGCTGCAAATGCTTCTCCTCCCTTAGCCATGTAAGTAAAACCTCAAGCTTAAGTTATAACACAACCAGAGAAAGAAGGGACAATTTGATGAACAGAGAGATATATGTACAGCCTAACTAAGCAGAGCACTGGTTCATGTTTATATCTATATATTTTTGCAAATAATTTTGTAAATAAAAAAGAGGGATTTAGATTTAAGTCAGTAAATAAATGTATCTTGGATTCCCACTGGCTTAAGTTAAAACCTCCTTTTGGGTGTGTAAAAAGTGAAGCATTGCTGTTTTATTATGTAAAGCAATGGCTTATCTTAGGTCTTATCATTCTGAACGTAAGGACAATGTAAATATCTTGAGGCTTTGCTCCTCAAGAATTGCAATATTTATTGTTTTAAGCAAGTTTTTGAATTGAACATTTTACACCCATAATTATTAGTTCAACAGTTTGAAACACATGTACAGAAAATGCTCATCTTCCTGCATTGCCCCAGGTTCTGAATTCTTATTTCTGTTAACCGAGAATTTTAGATCTGGTTTGATTTGGTTACCTATTATTCTGACACGCCATAACCCAATACTCGATTCCTTGGATGAATTTTTCTTTAAATACAAATCTACTTGAGAACTCTGGTTCAAGTCTGGATCAAACAGCTCTATATAACCCGAGAGATTCCAATAGAAACTACACTTGATTTATCAAACAAGAAGGCGTGGTCACAAGTAAGAGAGAGCACCACTCAAGGGCTTTGAAGGTTCTTGAGATCTTCTTCTTTAGCGTACCAAGCTGGTATGATCTTGGGAAGATGAGGGTAGAGATCTTTGTACGAGTTTCTTATAGTTCCTTCTGCAACTCCAGTTGCCACCGAGATATCTGCAACGTTCAATATCAAAAGATAAAAGATTGTAATAAGTAATGTGAGATTATTTCAGTTTGACAAAATGCGAATGGAACAGACCTCGAAGAGGCTTCTTCTCATCAGAGAGCTGTGTTATGATGTATATAACCGCTGCTGCAATCGATATGGGACTCCTCCTGCACAACCATGTGTGTATACTCTTGTTAGACCCATAGAACAGAAGCCATAAGACAGTAATGTTTAATGATGTACACCTTATATCGAACTCCTCTGACTTCTTCACAGATTCTTGAGCTGCCTTCACGGTTTGGTTAGTCATACCAAGATTGGAGCAAAACCGTCTCTGGAGATTTACCAATCAAATTAACGAAAGCAGCAGCAGATAAGAACCTAGAGAAACATGATTTTAAGAAGAGCCTCACCATAAAATCTCCAGCGTGGATAGTTCCCATTTCAACAGATTGTCCGGTTTCAAGCCCTAACTGTTTGACTATGTACTCTTTTGCACGACCAATCTCCTTCTTAGTAGCTCCATTGGCAACAGAACATATCTCTACACAACAATGGCGAAAGTTAACGAACATATAAACCAAACAAAAAGAAAACTAAAGTTTTTTGCTAGTACCCTTGACGGTTCGTGGCTTATCCTCTTGCCGACAAGCAATGTATAAACAAGCTGCCAAAAGAGCATCCTGATTCCTTCCTCTACTTGACTTCTGATCCTCTACTCTTTTATATATCTCGTTGGCTCGGTCCTTTAATCCAATATCAACAAATGATTGCAGAAAGCACACAATGAAAGAACGTGTCTAGCTACAATCCACCAAAGCAGAATCCATAAGATTGTTAAGAGAAAGAGAATGAATAATAATACCTTGATGGTCGCCACAAGCCCCAACCTGGAGAAAACGCAACGTTCATCAAAACTTGCCAACCAATCTAACTAACACTGAAAGCAAATAACATTCCATAACCCATTGAACCGACTCAATTAACATATTATAACCAAGTAATGGGAGACATTAACTGCACATATCATTTATATAAAGATTCATCATCTACATGGAGCTTCTAGAAACAACAATCCTCAAACTTTCACACCCCAAGCAAACAAATCTAGCTTACAATGAAAAACGCAACATAAATAAACATTCCATAAATGCCATTAAACCTTAATTAATTACACAAAGATCATTTAAAAAAAAAAAAAAATCAACCTTTCCTTTTCAGTAACACAAACTTTCCTTAAATAAACCTTCTAGAAGCTACAATTCTAAAACTTTAACCTACCTATCAGCCATAGTAGCAATCGTCTTAAACGCAACAATAAGCCCACGATCAGGATTAGACCCACGATTCTGCCAACGCCCAAGCGACGACGACAGAAAATCCCCAGATGATCCGTTAGGTTTCGAAATGACGGTGGTGAGACCACCGTCGGCGAGAAGCGGGTTCGTCGGACCTCCGACGCGGACGGGATCGTTGTCACCAGACTCGTTAGCGAAGGTGCGCCACTCTGAGGTCTCGTCGATTGAGTGAGATTCGAGGACGAGGCCACACTCTGAGCAGACGGTGTCTCCCGCGGAGTGATCGAACACGACTTCCGTGTGTTTCTTGCAGTCTGAGCAAAACGCGTCGCTCATTGCTGAGTGGAGTAAACCCTAAAACTCTCTTCTTTTTTTTAGTTGGATTCTGACTATAGCTACTAAAGATTGACACTTTGTTTCTTTCTTCTGCAACGATTTTCTTTGTTTTTCTGTTTCTTTTGAAGATTCTGTGATCGTCGACTGATGATGATCAAACGGCTGAGATGATTTGTGGGTACGAAGATTAATGGGCCTTTTAAGCATATTTGGCCCAACATTTTCAAGCCTGAACAGATTCATGTATTCACACCAAATATTAGTCCTGGGCATTCGGTTTTCGGATCGGATCGGTTTATTCGGTTTTCCTGTTATTCGGATTGAGATGTTTAGGAAGTGGATATTTTTGGATCGGTTCGGTTCGGATACTGTCGGATTTGGATTGGATTTCTACTTTTTTTTTATAAAATCCAAAGTGGAACTATATTACAAATTATTCAGGTTTGGTTCGAGTTTAAAGCCCATTAAACCGAAAAATTCCAAAACTCGAGTTAAACCTGGAAAATACGAGAAAAAAAAAGAATTCAGGTTATTTAGATAGTTCAGATTTTTTTTTAGATATTTTCATTTATAAGTTATACGTTATTATATATTAAAATTAAAAATAATTAATATTTTTAATATATTCAAAATATTTGAGTATCTGGTTGGTTTCGATTTTTCAAATTTTGAAATATATGAACTGTTCGGGTTTTTTTAATGTTTAAACCAGTTTCGGTTCGATTTATGTTCGGTTTTCAGATAATATGCCCAGGATTACTAGAGATGTCGCACACTAGCACACGAATTACACTACTAAAAAATGGTGGCAAATCACACAGGAGATATACCTAACCTGAGTAACAAGCAAGTGAGGTTCAAGAAGATTTTGATCTATGTGTATGAAAAATCTATTACCTGACCTTTAATGGGGTTTTAAAAATGGTTCTTGTTGTAACTGTATGTATAATCTGCACAAACTACTGGAAATACAAAGGTTCTTTGTAAAAATGAGACTGGCATAAAATGAATTCAATGTTTCAGAGACACGCGAACAATAAAACTGCTAAGAATGGCTTAAACAAGAAGCATGTAAGACTGGCTTAAACTGCTAATTTACTATTGAATGGAAATTGAAAGGAGAGATGCTGAAAATAAACTTTGCTTCGAGCCAAAGCAAGGAGAACGTGTTATTCCCTCCAAAGTCTCTAGGCCATTTTGTTCCCTATCTTTGATGATGAACGTTCAGGTGGAGGTGTCTTTGCATTCCTTGAACCTTTTATACCTATGATTTCCCCAAAAAAAAAACTTAGTTATTGATTTTTTTTTATGATGGAAAAGCGTAAAGAAACTCTTCAACAAGATCTTACTAACCATTCTCAACTGGATCTACTCTTATTGAGTATCTTTCTTGTCCTATGAGTGATTGCCTTCGCAGTGTCTTAGCGTTGCTTGTATGTGGCGACTTCACACTGCTGAAGCTATTCGAGACACCAAGTGGTGAGAGTGGATTTGCAGGAATGTTCTCCTTTCTGTGATACCAAAAAAGTTTTTCAACAAACCAGAAAATGTATGCAGACTAGAATAAACATAGAGTTTTTATCAGACCTCTTCTCTGAACCATTGATCAGCTTTCCTATTGTCCTCAGAGACTTCCTTATATGTGAACTTTTTCCACTTGTCCTAGTATCCACAGAAATAGACTGCATCTCATTTCTTGAATCCTCTACTTTAACAGGTGTCTGGAGTTGTGGAATGCTTGTTCTGACATTGACAGGACTCAGTGGATTCTTGATCTGGTGCTCCACCTCCATGGTGAGATCTCCTTTACTACTCTCTTCCTTTTTACGGGACTGTAGACCCTCCATACTCAATATTTGAAAACTACGAGTAGCCAAAGGTGACTTACTACCGTTTTCGATACTTAATCTCCTGAGACGTGGAGGAGTTCTCTCTGTTGTTGCAATCTGCCTTCTTAAAGGAGATTTTATCTCCTTTGCTCCACGAGGAGAAACCAAAGGTGATTTCATACATTTTCTGTCTTTAAGTGTGTTGCTACAGTTTTCTATGCTTAATCTTCTGAGACGTGGAGGAGTTCTCTCTGTTGTTGCAATGGGTCTGCTTAAAGGAGACTTTATCTCCTTGTTCCATTCTTCATTACCTAGAGCCTTCTTCAGGGTTTCAATCTGCTCCTTGAGCTGCATAACCTCTCTAGTCTCTTTGTGTGCATGAGCAGCACCAAGTTCAACAGTCGAAACTCTTTGTGCAAATTTTAATGTACTGATTGTTTCTCCAAAAGAGTCTTCCTCAGGACTCAAGTGAGCAATCATCAGTGTTTTGGCTTGACCACCTGCATATTTCAATGGCACTGAATCTCTTTTTTTTCACAAAAAAAACAGAGACGAAATGATTCATATTAGTTACCTAACGCGTCTTGTAGTAGAAGAGTCAGCTTGCTGTTTCTGTATGGGATGTGAGCATTCTTCTGAGCCAGAGCAGATATCACATCTCCAAGACAAGAAAGAGATTTGTTTATATACTGTGCTTCCTTGAGTCTATCTCCTGTAACTTCTGATTTATCTACTCTCTCACTCCCTGCAAGATCTACCAGATGCAAGCAACTTCGGATGGTACCTCCAGATGTGTCTTTCCCACGTACATGTACCATAAAAATACTACAAAAAAAAGACAATGAAGTTAGATCATTTGATTCTGACAGTGTGTAGCTTTGAGTTATGTAAGAGAACCTGTGAGACCGACTACTTCTATTGTTCATGGACGTGGAACTAACAGCCCTGTTAACCTCACCAGCCTCCATTAGCTGAAGTACATCCATGGTAGAGTGCACAGAATGCATTGTAGCATCTGGAAGACTCAAGCCATCGTCCTCCTCGCTGGAGCAAGTTCTAATATCTAATGTGTGTATGGTCAAGAGAACACTAGAAATAGTAATGTAAATTAAATTTTTTCAGGACTCATGAAAGGATATCTGGTGCAGGAAGAGTTTTCTGAAAGAAGGTCTCTGACTTGTTCATTGTAGATTTCAACCATTTGGACATATATCTCATACGTTGTAGTATCGCTTCTTTTATCACAAATCAGAAAGAGATCACTGAGAGCTAGATAGTTTATCCCCATTTGAGTAGCTGATCTGCCTGAAGGACCACTCTGCATCAAAAAAAGTTTAATTAGTAATTATAAATGTAAATGTTCTAGTTTGTAGTAGAACAATGCTCACCATGGTGTATGTCTTTCCTGATCCTGTTTGTCCATAAGCAAAAATGCAGACATTATAACCATCCATCACTGATCTGATTAATGGCTTTGTTTCTCTGAATACATCATCTATAGACATGTATTCATAATTTAGATTCCATCAAGCTAAGCTTACATTTTCTTGAGTAAGTTGGAAAGTTACCTTGAGTTGCTGTTGGACCAAACACTTGATTAAACTGAAATGTTTTTCTAGCATCTTTTTGAGGCTTAGATGGATCCATAACAAACAAAGAGCCATCTCTTCCTATGTAATCTATTACTCCATTCGTTTCACTATTGAAGATCGGTCTAACTCTGCAGAACACTCTTATATTTCCTGCAGTAATATTTAGACATGGCATTGTGACATTTATGAAAAGAGTAAAACTTGTGTTAATTATTTTTTACCTTTGAGATCTTGGACCATGTTGTATAACTTTCTGTTCTCTTCCACCACTTTGTAATATCCTTGAGCTGCTGATGACATCTCTTGCATCTGATTTCCTGTTCATAATTAAGAAGCATATCACAGAAAATGAAAGATCAAAAATACTGTCAGTTTTTTCTAGTGGAGCTACAATTGAGAATACAGAAGAAAAAAACTAACCTAGTTCCATCAGATCTCTTTGCAAATGAGCCTGAAATTCCTGAAAATCCTGCTTCGTTTCTATAAACAAAGTCTTGAGAGCCTGAACAATGATAAGCATACCTGAATTAGAACACATATTACAGACTATCAAGAGACGAAAGTTACGAGAGCTTCCCAAAAGGTGTTGACAGAAAAAGAGACAAGCAAGACATAAGTATTAACTTATGAGAAATGTATGAATTGTATTAGCTATATGAATCTAATAATACATGATAGGATCATATAATCAAATATATGATGGAGTGATTACTGTGATTAGGTGAATCATATGATTGATACTCTTTCCTTAAATATATTTCCCAAACAAATTACAAGAACTTCAGTAAAATTCAAACGTACCGCAAGCTCATTTTCTTGTGTTTTCAGTAAACGCTTATGGTTGCATTTTCTCTTGTGTAGGAGACTTTTGCTGGACTGAGAAAAATATATATGAAATTTTGTTAGTGTAAAGTTAGTATGAAATTCTTTTGAATAGTAGAGGAGTGAAGGGGAGTATCTAAGAAAGAGTTGAACAAATGCATAGAAAGCAGAGGCAGAACATTTCAACTTACCTCGCTGCTATTCTCTAATGAAATTAGATTCTCATCAAAATTTTCCTTGGAGTTGACAATGTGATCGGCACACAACTTGGTTATCACTGCATATATCAAACTAAAGTGTTATGGTTTCATCATGTTGTGGCTAAAATGGAGATTGACTAGCTTTTATGTCCATTGCCAGATTATAAACATGTTACAGGTTCCACCTGACTATCCATAAAAAATAAATGAAACATGAATCATACCTTTGTATTGATCAGATTCACCATCTGAGCAATCGTTTCTCTCCAAATGCCTAGACGTTTTAGGATAACCAAGTGGATGATTAACCTTAGTTGCAGAGAGCTGAAACGGTGACGTTTTGATGTGCTTGTAGAACCCACTACTCATCTTGCAGTCATGATAAGCCTTGAGTCCTAAGATACAGTCCACAACTTTGCTCACTGATCCAGACTCTATATTATCCTGTCTCATTTTACACATTATGTTATAGCTTATAATATTATACTAACACCATCAAACATAAGAAACATTCTCCAAAGTGTTACTACCTTTTCGAGATCAGAAGCTTCGAATCTAGGAAGCCTCAACTGTTCCAAAGCCACAAGAAAGTTCCGAACATTCTCAAAGTACTGATAAGCTTGAGGGAGTTGATAATCTCTGTTAAATGACTCCAGATGCGAGTAGCTCTCAACAACCTTGGAGACGGCTCCAGGGTGAATCTTGTTGATAGCATTGCATAGTATCATACCGTTTCTCAAGCAAGTAACAAACTCTTTCTCTGATGGCTGACTTGGGATACCGAGTTGGCCAACAATAGATTGTAGCCACTGCACGGCTTGGAATCGCCTTGACGCTGCAATGAAAGATTATGTCAGCCACATGAGAAATCAGAAACAGAAACTTTCTTATGGTGATTTGTAATGAACCTGCTTCTTCTGCTCTTCTTGAGGCTAAATGAACCTCATGCAACGCAGTCATTGGAATCAAACCCTAGAAAAATATATTTGAAGAAAGGGATTGAAAGTGAGATTGCAGATCAAACTATAGTGGTCGTCTTGTTCAGCCGTTGTTTTTTATGCATTGTGTATTGGATATTTAGGGCTGGGAGTGTAACGTTTAATGTGTTTGAATTCAAATATGGTAAAACAGTTTTATATTACCTTTTTAATTAAATTGGATTCAGATTTTTTTTAAGGAAAAATCATTTTAATTGGATTCAGATTTGTCAACATTCATATTATATAAGATCAAATGGTAGTCTGAGTTTAAGTCATTCCGAAGAGATGATTGGTCCAACCGAATTTGATCTATATGGGAAAAGAGAATATATACATCCGTTTCTCGCATTATTTGCAAGAGATTTTACATCGGATGTTTATGGATATGGATATATATAAATATATACTCAAATTCGAAAAAAAGTCTCGTCGAAGACAAAATAAGACTAACTCGGAGGCAATCAATCAATTGGGTTACCAATCATGTCCACCAAATTGAAACAACCTGTCTCACATATATTCATAGAAGTAACATGTAACTCCCGCAAGCAGGTCATCACTCATATAAGACCTTACCTTTCATCTGAGCGTGTAAAGCTGAGAGACTTTTACATCAGTCTTATAGGCCAAATCTTAGAACTCCCATGTGATCCATGTGTGTCCACCCAAAACTACTGACATTGCTATGATAAGATGCATCAATTCATTTGGGGTTCCACGAGCAAAGTCGAAGTAGCAGCCATACGGGACGAGTAAACTGCATTCAGATTTGTTTTAGCGAAAATCATTTAAATAGCCCAAAAAATTATTAAAATTAACATACAAAAAGAAAAAGGATTAATTAGCACCAATTATAAATAAAATGACTAAGTTACTCCAAGTTCTAAACTTTTATCCTAACCCCACCTATAAATACTAAATCATAAATTTTAATCATCAAACACAAACCAAATATAAATCAAATATATTTTGAGGAATATTTAGGACAACACTAAGATGTTTTGTCATAAAAATAACATCCAATTACCAAGAAATTGACTAAAATAAATTTCAATTAAAAAAGATAAAAGATACTTATATCCCTATAATTAACTAATCTAAAGTTAAATTTAAGATTTTTATTTTGGAGGAGGAATGGGGGTTTAGAATTTAAAATTTAAAGATTCAAATTTAAAATAAATTTAAAAAATATTTTTTTTGGATTTTGAAGTAATTTAAATAACAAATTGAAAAAGAAAATCGAATATATTTGTAATTTTTTATATATAATAAATTTATAATTTTATTTCTTATGAAACTTTGTTTGGTCATATTTTTCCTTGTGTGTTCTTTTGATCAATAAAATATTTTAGGTCTTTTTAGGAGATTTGCCCATATATTTTTAACCTTTTTATATTAATACTATATTTTGGTCAATTTTGTGTATTCTAATTTTGAAATAATAATGTATTATAGTGATATTGAAAGGTATTTTATTTGTTTTACTTATCATTTTGTTAGTAATTATCACAATTTTGAGACCACGCCCAGGAATTTCTCTTTTTAGCATAGGTGTCGATTGTATAATTAAATTTTCTAGGAAAAAAATTATAAACAATGAGAACTAGTAAAACAAATTTAGAAAATGAATATGTCAGTAGAGATCCAAAGTTAACTAATGTTTTTATTATGTGACTAGAAATTTTTTATATAAAAATTTGATATTTGTTTCTAGAATAGTTGAATTTTAAGAGAGATCATTTTGATATAAATTCAAAAACAAGGCTTTTCAGACTGAGTTGTGAATTTTGATAGTTTGTTATTTGAAAATATATTTTTGCTATAAAATAATTGCTCTCAAAAACTAGGATGAAAAAAAAATGTTGAAAGGTAAATCATTTTCGCTAACTAATAATATAACGACAAGTATACTAATTCATTCATTTTATTTTATACCACAAAATAAATCATTTTCGTTAACATTTTTATTTAGTAGTCCATAGTGATGCAAGATAAGTTTATGGGTCTCATTTTTAACTCTTTTAACTTAAATTCAACTAGAAAATCCACGTCATTTTTTTTTGAGTTTTTCAACGGTCTTATTACAGTTGTTCAACAATTGAATATTTCATTCAACAATTGACTTCTGTCTTTCATATACAGTAAACAGCCTCTATAAATTAATAATGTTGGAAATAACACGAAAATTATTATTTTTTATTAATTTATATAGATTATTAATTTATTAATATACTAACTAAAACAAAAATTCAATTTGAAACTATAAAATTATTTTATTTTATTTTATGTATATTAATTTATAAAATATTAATTTAAGGAAGTTATAGTGTACTAGTCGATATATATATTGACAACAGTAAAAAAAGGGGAAAAAAAACAGAAAACAAGATGAAACTCATAAAAATAGAGATGGTGTACAAAATTTTCAGACAATCATCTCCAGGTCACCTCTATAATTTCTTCAAAAATAGAAGAATTTTCTAATATATGTTAATGTTTAGAAGAAAAATAATAGGGAAGATTACTAAAATAACATCAAATCATGTTATTATTACTAGAATAACATACAAAAATTTTTAATTATTAGATTATTTTTATACCCAAAATACCCATAATTCCTTTGTTTACAATTTTTTTTTTTTTACGAAATTGTAAAAAAGTATAATTTAAAAAATCTGCGATATTCTATGGCAGATTTATTAAACTATGGCAAACATAAACTTTGACGAAGACTTAGTGTCGCAGACTTCATATCGTCATAAACTTTCAAAACAAGTCTACCACACATGATGGTAGATTTAGTTACGTTCACAGATTTATTTACGTCGGCAATATTTTTAATGGCAGATTTTTATCTTACTATAGCATGTTTTATTAAAGAATGACAAACTTATTCCTTCGCGAAGACTTAATCTCGAAGAATTTATACTGTCACATACTTCCAAAACAAGCCTACCACACATGATGGCATATTTTTACTGAGATGTAGATTTATCTTGTAAACCTTTTTATAAGTTGGTAGATTTTTTTGTGATTGTAGACTACTATGTGATAGCAGACTTTGATAGATCTAAAGCAGAGTTTAATCGCAGGTATTGGTAGCAGACTTTTTTCATTAAAACTGGTTAACTAAGGAATCGGTTAAGTAAATATAATTAAATTCGGTTTGATCTAATTTAACAAAATTTCGACCAATACCTGCAAGCCTTGATCTCCTCTAAGTCACGATCTCTTTTGCCTTAATTACTAAAACCTAGATTTATGCCGTAAAACTTCTTCTTCTCCAAAATACATATTCTTTTGTACAAGTGGCTATTTTACGTTAATCTCAAAAACAACCGACTCTGTTACTCAACACAACTGAATTCACTACTCTATATTTTCTCTCGAAATAGTATTCTTCTGTTATACTCTCTCTATTTTAATAAGATGTATATTTTAGAGGTACTTGTATGGTTAATTTCAATGTTTATCTATACTTTGACACGATATACTTGCAAATAAATTAGTCGCAATAAGGGCCACAACTTCAGAGCACCTTTATCCCCCAAAAAATTGGGGTGCTTAGCATAAAAAGTAGAGGGGGGGACCACAAAAAAGAAGAAGACGATGCTTCAGTTGCCCAAATAAGCGCCAGCTTTTCTTGGATGTTTGCACTGTTACGCCGGCCCCACGATACGTGGCGGCCCGCGATTGGTTCTATTTTAATTTTTCTTTTTAATCAGAAGAAAAAAAAAAAAAAAACTTTTAAGCACCTTTTAAGCACCCCTATGCGATAATCATGCTCTCATACTATCTTCTAAATTTGAACACTTTTTAGTCAAACTTTTGTAAAACTGAACGGAAACTGGATCACGTAAACCGATTCTGAGTTTAATATGTAGACGAAATGAAATGTATAGACCGAATATATATGTTCCGGTTGTTGGTCTTCACTCTTTTTGTTTTTTTTTAAACAATTATACTGATTTTAAATTTACATCAGTATAATTAAACTAAAGAAATCAATGGGTTTTGGGAATGGTGAGGAGGAAGTAAAGGAGCTTCTTTATGATTGATCTTAGGTCTAATACTAGTTTTTAGTAGTTGTGAAGAAGCATAATCCGGATTTCCTGTGATTTTCTGTTTCAACTGAGCCGGTGATGTTAAGTAGACGTGCACTTAGGGATCGTGCAGGAGGAATTAATGGCATAAAAAACAAAATTGTGCACCTAATTAATGGTATAATTTAACATGAATATTAGAGTTCTCGTATTGAAAACATGGATATAACTGGGATCTAGATCTACGATATATTTTACAGAATGAGCACAGCCTAGAAACAGTTATCGGATCAAATTTAATGATAATTTAATACAAATGATTTAAAGTTTTAGATGAAGGTTTTGATAGAGATCTCATGTGGTTCAAACCTCTATGATTATTCTGAATGTGCGTACTGCACAACCTGGAGACAGATCTTCGGATAAAAATGTTTATTCGGTACGAAACGAGAAATGGGAGCGGAGAAATTGTTATAAAACCCACATATCAAAATCTATTCGGCAAAAAGATGGACAGAAAAAGAGTACCCCCACCTTCATCTCGTCCTCCAACTTCTCACACTTTTCTAAACGAACTTCTGAAAAAGCTGCATCCTAACGCAATATGTCCTTTGTCTCACCTAACTCACCCTCACGTCCTTCTTCTTAAACATGGGGGAAACACCAAGTCTGATTGTTATTCATGCGGTAAACAGAAATCTTTTGTCACAGGCCGTAGGAACTCTTACTCATGCACCACTTGCAATGTGGAGTTTCACCATGGTTGTCACGAGTTTCCTAGGAAGATAAGACATCCTTATCACCCCCAACACCCTCTTACTTTCACCTTTAGAAACTATGAAAATGGGATCATCTCTGATGGCCATATCGACGAATCTTTTTACTATACTATCTTGTCTGATTCCAGCACATTAGATGTTAAGAAGTTTAGATCTGTCCAAGTTAGCCAGTCTCAGTCCAATCTCTTAATGGATAAGTGCACATGGTGTGCAGAAGATATAGAAGGCAGCTGGTTCTATCGATGTTCTATATGTAACTTTTCCTTGGATCTCTCTTGTTACAAAAATTTTCCACTTCAAACCGTGGAAAATCCAAAGAGTCATCATCATTCACTCGTCTTCTACCCTCGGCCACTCTTAACACCATGTGACGCTTGTGGGTTGGTCAACGTGTTGGATCCAAGCTACGCTTGTTTTCAGTGTAATTACATGGTTCATCAAAGTTGCATCGACTTACCACGAGTCATCAAGATCACGCGTCACCAGCATCGGCTTTCTCATACTCCTTACACTGAAGCTGTAACTTCACCATGCCGGATCTGTTACAAGACGGTTGACTTCAAGTACGGGCAATATTTTTGCAATCAAGAAGATTGCTCCTACGTAGCCCATTCAAAATGTGCAACGCATGAGAACGTGTGGGATGGGAGAGAACTCGAATGGGAGCCCGAAGAATATGACGAGAATGAAGATATCATCCCTTTCATTAAGGTTGGTACTAATCTGATAAAACATTTCTCCCATGAACATTTTCTAATGCTAGAGAAGTATGATGGTATTAGAGATGGAGAGAAGCAATGTCAGGCGTGCACTCTTCCTATCAACTCACGTGACTTCTACAACTGCGTGGAATGTGACTTTTTCCTCCACGAGGTATGTGCTGGTCTTCTTCGAAAACTGGATCATGCATTGCACGTCCACCCTCTTGTGCTAGACTCGTCCCACTACTCTTCTAAAAAACATTATACGAGGATTGGTTGCTCAGTTTGTTCCAGAAAATTTAGCGGTTTCACGTACAAATGCTCCAAAAGGGATTGCATGCTTTACCAAGGATTTCAGATCGATGTGCGTTGTACTCTAGTTCCGGATTATTTCACCCATGAAAGTCACGAGCATCCTCTATTCATCTCCACATCCTACAAAGGTAAAAGCAAGATTTGTTGCGAGGGTTGTAAGGAGGTATGTATGCAGTCATACCTACAATGTAGTGTATGCCAATTTGCTTTATGTTATCAATGTGCTACCATTCCAAATGAAATATGCTACAAATACGATAAGCATCCTCTCTCTCTTTGCTACGGAGAAGACGTACCAGATGGTGTGTACTGGTGTGAAGTATGTGAGAAAGAGGTTAACCAACGGATTGGTTCTACACATGCAACAAATGTTGTATCACTATCCATATTCAATGCGTGTTTGGACCTTCTGTCTATATGATGCCTGGTTTCATATTCGACTGTGACCCATCCAGACGGATGCTAAACCAGGTGAAAGTTTTCCGCAACAGTAATAACACTCGGCCGCTTTGTGATAAATGTGGCCACCGCTGTCCAAGTTCTGTTTTCTATAGTAGCCAACCCTATAAAGAAATTTCGTGTTCATTGAGTTGTTTAGACTTTAGCGTCACAAGAGGACAGCCTGGAATTTCAGGTTCCTTCTTAGACGGCGTATTGAAGACCCCTCTAAAAAAAAACTTGCTGACTAGTTATGCAGATTATATGTGATTTTTTCTTTGTCTCATTTGCGCGATAATGAAATTTACTTCTCTTTTGTGTTTGTATGTTATTAGATTGAGCTTTTGTTTTAATTTGCACTAGAGTTTGGCGCGGATTTAGATTTTTACCTTTTAAAAAAAAAGTTATTTAATGATGTTAGTAGACAGACAATTTTTAGATATTTTTAGGTTCCGACAAACATATCCGAACCTTGAATGCCTACTCGACACCGTCCGTAAATTCATAATATACAGATGTAAAATAATTCTAAACCTCAACATCCAGAAAAAAAAAACTGAATTGTAGTTGATGAATACTTGGATGGCCATGTCTAACACCCACATAGATGTTATTGTAAATTGTAATATATAACATATATAATTATGCTTATATATAACAATATATATATATATATATATTATATTGTTTTATATTTCTGTTGAAATAAGAAAAATTATATAACTAACAAGTTAATATGGTTGTCTAAATTACCACAATTATTATGTTTGTATATAACATATTTAAATTAATAGGAAGCATCTTAAAATAGTTAATGTAAAATATATTTATTATAATAACCTGATAAATATATATACATGTAAAGATGTATATATATATATGTATCTTACATATTTACGTTAATGATTAATTTTTTAAAAAATGAATCATTGAAAAATTTTGAGCGTAATTATTGATTTAATGGTAGATTTATGGATTATCTACACAGATTTGTATATCCAATTGAAATGTTTTGAGTCTTATGTTAATGAAATTACTAAAAAGACATTAGTGAAAGAACACTACTATTTTTTTTTCCGAACAATACTCTTTGTTAAACTTGATATCTATGTTTCCAAACATACCAAAAGATATTTCAACTATAATAAGATAGATAAATAAATGAATATATTGTTTAGAAACATGAATAGTAGTATAAAAAATAAATATATTGTTTGGAAACATGGATAGTAACATAAAATATATGACCGGGTGATTGTGGTCGAGTGGTAAGGAGACGGGGCTAAGACACCAACATGTTTCAGGTTCGATCCACCTACTGCGTGAAACTAAGTCACAATTATCATGGTCAACTAACACAGATATGGACCTATGCTTTAGGACCCATTTGAATACCCGGAGAGAGGGTCTATCCGTGGAGTTCACCTCCCTTTGGGGATTAGTCTGGACATCTCCATGAGCCTAGGATACCCCCAGGTTAATCAAAAAAAAGTATAATATATATATATATATATATATATATATATATATATATATATATATATATATTGTTTGGAAACATGGATGGTAGTATCAAAAAAAGAATATTAATGATTTAGTGTAAGTTTAACTATAAAATAGAAAGATGTATGTAATTTAAAAACTTACAAAATAAATGTTAGATTTAACCTAATGTTTCTGATTTAATAAGATAGATTTATTTTGATTAAAACATTTCTATCGGCACTATTTCTATTGAATGGAAAGGATAAACATTTCTGTTTTATTCTCATTGATGGCAAACACTATATGTACTATTTTACTGATTCAAACAAGTCAGGTATAGTGGAATCAAAGAGTTTACCGGGAGAGTTTTGAGTTCTGAACACAAGCACTGTTTGCAAGGAGATCAACCCTTACATTAGAATTGCGAACAATATAAGATAGGGAAAACCAGTATAAAAGAGCGGTTTATTCATATTCCTTCGAGGGCCGCAGATGGCCATTTTCCTCCATAAGCTATCTTTTTTTAAGCTTTTCTTATTCAACAGTCGTAGCACTCTTTTCAAATTCTCAATGCTATTTTGATACAGACATATTATGTTTCTCTAAAATATTTGCCGTTCATTGTAAACTATGTTAATATATATTAGATCCTTGCACGTTTGCGTGGATGTTATTATATATTAGATTCAGACTTGCTCGTTTGCTCGGATGTTGTATTTGACATTTATTATAAATTGTGTTACGATATTCATATTCCTAAACATATATGTTATTTAGATATTTTTGGGTTTATACATCTCATACGCGAACCACCTGAAGTCAAGAGCATCAGACTTCAAGTCTGCTTATAATTTTATAATGTCTAAATGGAATCTAATTTTAAATCCCAAAATCTCGATATCTGAAAGATATGAAAAGTACTCGAATGGATATATGAATACTCATCCCTAACTGATTATGTAACAAATAAAAAAATTATCAACGGTCTGAATTCTTGCACAAATGGAACTGTTGCATTCGAAACTGTGAAATTATTATGGTTAACACATAAAATAAATTATGTCAATTATTATTGTAAAAAAATTTAATGAAGTAGTTATGAAGAGTGAAAAATAGAATGAAAAATATGTAATAAAATACATAAATTAGGTAAATTATATTTTACACATATGTAATAAATAATGTCGAATAATTTGGAAAATACAAGAAATCAAATGGTTAAACTAGTTAAAAAGGAATGAAGAAGATGTAATAAATCACTTAAAAGTAGGTAAGTAACGTTTTATACTTTAGTTTTAATAGAATAGATATGTCTATTTGTTTTTATAATAATATAGCTGAGAAATAATTATCAGGAGTGTTGTCTGAAATTATTACTAAACCATGTTAATTTTTTTAAATAGCGATATACAGTAGAACCTCTATAAATTAATACTCGATAAATTAATAATCTCTCTAAATTAATAAATTTTGCCGGTCCCAACTTAGGCCGGTTCAAAATTTAAAACAAATCGATAAAATAATAAGATAATATTTTTTTTAAAAAAATTTCTATGTTAATTTATGGTCCCACTAAATTTATAAATTAATAATTTATATTTATGCATATTTTATATAAGTAAGAAACTATTATTATATTGTTTATTTTATATTTACAATGAAATTATCTTTATATTTTTTGACACTTAATATAATGTTGATGAGATTTAGTAATGTTATATCTAAAACAATATTTAAATTCTATGAAATATATATTATATACACCAAATAATATAAGAAATTTAATTTAAATTTAAAATTTCAAAAAAATGATAATAAATATCTATACACTAAAATAAAATATTTTTCTTATTTTAGAAGAAATAGAACTAAAAATAAAATCTAAATAAGGAAACTTTGATAATTTAATATAAATTAATAAAATTACAAAATCTCGACATTATGAATTTATAGAGGTTTAACTGTAGTTTTAAAAACTAGTGGTGCTATCTATATATGTTTAATATTTATTTTAAAATTATAGTTTGTAATATATATTAAAAAAAAACTGAGACCATATTACACCGCTCCACTTCCAGAAGCAAAACAAGCTAAAAGTTCATGTTTATCTCAATAGTTTTTTTATGAAAAAAGGGCATTCAATTTAAAAGCAAAGATACAGGATGTGATTTGTTAGATCACATAGTTTGGTAAAGTTGATACATAAAGTAAGCAATGAAAAAAGCTCCTAACACAAAGATGAATCTAGTAGAGCTTTTTTAGTACAAACCAAAGTAAGAAAGACATTTGAGCTTTTGGTTTAGGATCCTCGACCTCAACGGCCTCGTTTTCCTTTTCCCCGAGCTGCCTGCCATTCCATTTCTTGGTACTTTTGTGTAGGTTTTATCAACCTAACTCCTCTTGTCACACTGAGATTTTCAAAGTTCTCAATCTCATTTCCAAATTCATCCTTATGCTCAGTAATACAGAAAACATTTTCCATATCACCGAACTCTTGGTTGGACTCGGTTGAAAGAGGAGTCATGCTTGAAGGATCATTTTCTGAGAGTCTAACACCCTCATTTATGATAATGCTTGATGGAACTTCTTCCATAACTTGATGAGAAGTTTGAGCAGATGTTGAACCCACTAGTGTAGAAGCTGAAATAATTTTGGAATCCGAAGATGAATGAGAAAAAACAGTAGAGCTAGAAATAGCTACCTGAGGAGACATAGAATGTTGGGGCTGGTCGAGTGTATCTTGAGGCAGATGCATAGGTTTGTGAGGACAAAGTTCCTTTGCGGACATCTGATCGGCTACTTGAAGATCACTAGCTTTGTTCTTCTCAGATGTCTCTTTTGAAGAAACAAATACTTGTTGTACTTCGGAAGTTAATGTTTCTTTACTTCCCATAGCTAAGCAAACATTGTTTTCCAATAATGTATCGATATCCACTACAGGAATATCTAAATTAGCTTCCACTGAGTTACTTTCAAGAGCAGGATCAATCTTATCTTCCTTGAGCAAACACCTTTTTGCTTTGTGACCTAGACTTCCACATCTTTCGCAAGTTGATGGAATCCAAGAATAGACCACATCAACTAGGTAGATGTTACCAAGCTTGTCATCTAGTGCAATCTGTTTGGGAAAGTTCTTGTCAAGTTCTATTTCCACCAAAATCTTAGCCTCTCCTATGTTGAATGGATCTAGCTTTGGCTTGTGAGTAAGCATGGGCTCGCCCAGGCCAGAAGCAATATGAGAAATTCCAAGTCTGGAATAGCAACTAGTGGGGATATTTGTTAAAGTCACCCAAGCTGGTATAGTGGAGATTTCAGGGATTTTCAAAGAGCCAACTAGATTCCAAGGAGCTACAAACATTAAGCAATCATCAACATGCCATACACTACGCTGGATGATCCACTGCCTTGTATCTTTGTGAGGGACATGGAAAAGATAAGAAGATTCTCCTAATTTCCGACTAGTTATTTTGCAACTTCTACCCCAAAGACGATTCACAACAGTATGTATAAGACCACCAGAAGGAGCAGAGCAACGGTGAAATTGCCCAATTACATATTCTCCTACATTCTCAGGGCCAAGTTGAAGTACCTTTGTTGGAATTATGATCTCCGGAGTACCATCAAGTCTGAAAGTAGGTGTAGAAGCACGATACAAGTTCCTTGTAGCCGGGTTCATCCTTGCGGCCCATGGGAAGCGAAGCGAGCCATCTTCCTTTAGTTCTGGAGGTGGCAACTTTGAAACAGGGAGATTCGGCAATGAGGGAAGAGCACCTTCTAACAGAGACTTCTTCTGCTTAAGGTGGATACCTTCCTCCAATGAAGGCCAAAAATTCTCAATCTGACTCTGCACCAACTGAAGATCATAGCTGTGAGGCGTTGATGGCTCAGGGGGTGTACATGGAGGAGGGAACTTCAAAACGAGTGGCTTTGACCACGCTCCCTTAGAAGGTACGAATGGTGCTAGTTCTTGTTCCATGGTCTCTTGAATTTGTTGATGAACATCTGGTGTACTTGGAGGAGACTCATGAGGTACACTTGCTGATGATACCAGGCCGAGTGTTGCAGGAGGAACACCTGGTAGGTTTGGATGAGCTTCGTGAGATAGATTCTCTGGTGTTGCAGGAGGGACACCAAAGAGTCCGTCGTCGCAGTGAGATGACGGAGGGGCCGCGGACGAAGGAGCAACAGAACCGTGGCTGTCGTGACAGTGATGAGCCGGCGACTCCTTCTTTCGAAATGGAGGAATCTCAGGTAAATACATGACTGATAAGAGAGGTTGCTTAAGGAGATGGTTCACTTTCACCGGAAGCAGCCGGCGCGACATCTCCGTCGTTACGGATTCGTCAACGATGTCTAGGTATATATGTCTCGACGAAACTGGTCAAACTGAAAGGATATGGGATCTTCAAAGACAGCTTTGTATTAAAAACAGATATAGTTTTATACAATAATAAATTTATTGAACCGGCCATGCTTACTGCAGGTGATGATGAGACATACATACTTGGTCTTGAAACTAAAATATGAAAGATTGCACCAAATTTAAGCAAAAAAAAAAAAAAAAAAAAACTAAAATATGAAAGATTCATCATTATCCACGAGATAATATGCATCAGTTCATTTATCTTTTCCTGCATCATAAGAGTGATCATTTTATACATGGTTTTGCACGGACTAGAACTTTATACATATAAGTAACTAAAGATCATATTGCGGATTGTGTATATATTGGTTTGACTTGCAAATTGAGGTACCTAATTTACTATCACTCTCTTCCGATAAAATAACTTCATCATAAGGCTTGTAATGGGCTAGTAAATATTTTAATGGGCCGAAGCTAACAATTAAGTCTTAAACAATTTGATTCGTTGGTCACCGTAGACAATTGAGCCAAGCCGATTAATGGTTTATTTGTTCTTTAGTGTCCAAATGATTATGAAAGTTTACACGGTATATACAGATACAGATTACAAATACAGTAAACGGACAACTGTTACGGCGACACTAAATGCCGCCATATAATTGGTGCCAAAAGTAAAGTAAAATAAAAAAAGGTTATGAATGTGAAGGCACATTTTATGGGAATTATTTTAACATGGTAAAAAGGGAAAAGAATCAGATGAACAGGCTGTCTAGTTCTTGTGAACAAATGTGACTGACGACAACACTCTTTGTCCTTTTGGCTCTTTCTCTCTCTCTTCCACCAGCAAACCATTACTCCTCTCTCTCCTCCGTGACTCCATTGCTGCAAACACTCATTCCTCGATTCAATTCTCCCCTTTCGCTCAAAACCCATCACAAAGTCTCAATCTTTACTTCAAACCCAACACAAAGTTTCAATCTTTACAATTCTTGGAGTCTTCACGGCGTGTTTGTACTGAGTCACACGGCTCTGACTCGCCCCTGGGGAAGAAGAAGAAGAAACCCAAGAATGGGGTTTCTCTGTACTCTCCAGGTGCTTCTCTTTCTCCACCTCATTCAACAACTCTCTGCGACCAATGTGACAACTTCTTCTCTTAACGCTCTTCTTCAAGATTACTCCTTTAGAGCCTTTGTTAATCCTCGTACCGGCATTATCTACGACGCCACCACCGTTCCTTCCAATCTAACCGGGATCAAACTCGCCGCCGTCAGACTCAGAAGCGGAAGCTTGAGAAAACACGGAGTACCTTCCCTCAAAGAGTTCTCGATTCCGACAGGTGTGGTAGTGAAGCCGTACGTGACAAGACTCGTTCTTGTTTATCAGAACTTAGCTAACTACTCTCACTTGTATTACCCTCTGTCTGGTTACGACTACGTCGCTCCTGTTTTGGGACTTCTCGCTTACGACGCTAAGAATCTCTCCGTCGTTAACTTACCGGAGCTTGAGTTAACGGCGTTAAATGATCCCATTAGGATTGGTTTCTCTGATCTTGAACGTATCCCGCAAGGGTCTAGTGCTAAGTGTGTTAGTTTTGATTCACGAGGTAAAGCGAGTTTTAAGGATTCTGTTCAGCCTGGGAACACGTGTGAGACTGATCGTCAGGGGCATTTCTCTGTGGTGGTGAAGTCTGTGGCGTCTGCTCCGTCTCCAGAGAGTGAAGGAAGGACAAAGAAGAAGAAGGAGGGCGATGAGGACAGTTCAAGGACTTGGATCATTGTTGGATCAGTGATTGGTGGGTTGATAGTGTTGGGGATTTTGCTGTTTCTTGTTTTGCGGTGTCAGAGTTACAAGAAGGAGGAGAAGATTAGGGAGATGGAGAGAGCTGGAGAGACAGGGGAAGCTCTTAGGATGACTCAGGTTGGAGAGACAAGAGCACCGACAGCTACTACTACTCGTACACAACCTATGCTTGAAACTGAATACGCAGCTTAGAAAGAAAACTTTTGTGTACATCACTTAGCTTCAGCTTTGATCCATCTGTTACTGTCTTCTGGTAAAGTGTTTTTCTGATTATTTTTTTTGCGTTGTGGTTAGCAAGTTGATACGTACATTCTTCTTGATTTAAGGAGTGATTTAAGGAAATAAGTAACTTTGGTGAAAGATGTGGATTGTTTCTGGAACACACTCGCATTGTTTGCTTTCTAACTACTTTTTGTGTAAAGCTGTTATCTCTTTTGTAATAATGTTAACATTTTTGTCTGCCAAGCAGACAGCTTAAGAGGATGATGCTCCATTCTCAACTTTGAGATTCAAGTGTTTTGTTGTTGTAGCTAGGAGCTTCATGCAACTCGTTCATCCTAACTAGGTCATCTATTAGAAGATCACAAATGAAAAAACAGGGTTTGGAACCAAAGAGCTTGACATCATCGAAGATTGTTCTTATTTGTAGAGCTCTTCACCTTTCTTTATAATCTTACTTTCTTGAGGAGATGACTTGTAATGCAGGCCCCCATGCATAGTGCATAAGCTGCTTCATGTTACAACCTTTTATGTTCACATTCAGGATTGTCTTGCTTGGTTGCTACAAGTCGCTCATGCGGCAGCCATAAACCTTTGCTCTGAACAACAGAGTTGGGAAAAAGTGTTAATGTACTCTCGACTTCTGCAGATCTCAGGAGATTCTTAATCAGTCAGGTTCATTGTCTAATCATTGCCAGATCTTAATATCTGGATTCGGAAATGAAGATGCATTGTATAAGTAATGATGTATTAATTGTGTTCCAAGGATATCCAAATGATTGGTAAAAGGAGACTATTGTTGTAGAATATTCGTCTCGTTTGTTCTCTGTCTGGCACTTTGGTTGAATAGAAGAGAAAGCTAAAAGGTATCCACATCAAAGTGAAAGGTCTCTAACGGTAAAATAAAAACAAGCTTCGTTTTCACTAAAGAGAAAAGAGATTTCTTTTTCAGGATTGGTCTTTCCTTGCTCATATTCAGGTGTGGTTAATCGAATCCTTATAGATAATGGAAGGTGTTTAATAAGCAAACGAAAGAAGATCATCTCTCTGTTTTTCTCTCTGTCTCAGGAGTTAACCCTTATAGATAATGGAAGGTGTTTAATAAGCAAACGAAAGAAGATCATCTCTCTGTTTTTCTCTCTGTCTCAGGAGCAGCAACTTGGCTTATTTGTTATGGTTTTAGGGATAAACTAGAAAGGAATCTACCCAAGTCGTTTTTGATTGGTAAGAGCAACTTGATAGTATGAAACAAAAATTCCCTCTGAATAATGTAATAAAAAAGGTTTTGTTACAAAAGTGGACCGATTTGAGGGAAAAAATCGGAACTGAGCCCACTTGAAAGGGACAAAACGAGGGGTCCCCATGTGAATCTGCACGCAGAGACAGAGGCTTTGACCTTTATTAGCAGGCACAGCCATAAAACCATGTGATTCAGCATCAAAAGCTTCGCTGGACTCAACTATCTTCAAAGTCTCCCCTTTCCCATCTAATATATAACCACACTATGTACACATTAGATCCTACCCACAACACCTTAAGAATGTAATTCCTATCTTTCTATCGGCACTGTGACGAGTCATTATTTAAAATACTTATTCATTCAGACAATAAGAGTGTAGCTTCAGTGTATCATGCAGCTCAAAAGCAAGTATTATCACAAGCAGAGAAATGTTATAACCAAATGCCATTACGGACTGAATTCTGAAAGCAGGAAAAAAGAAATCAAACGGGAGTAACAGTATGAGACTCTTCAGCTTCTTCTTCTTCTGGAATAAACTTTATTTGTGTGAACACAAGTATTCACCTTAAAGCCCCTACATCACATCAACATGTTACTCAACAGTTACATGGCAAGCCAAAAGGAAAAAAAAAAAAAACAGAAAGCAGCAGGAAGATTTTAATCACTGCCCTAGAGCTTAACCATCACAAAGAAATAAGCACAGCTTAACGAAAACTGATGAATTAGCCAACCATAAACAAGATCTCAGTCATTACCAAACAAGACAATAAGAAAGAAAAAAAAACACCATCCACAAGCTCAAGAGGCAAATAATTTAACGCTGAGTACACAAAACTCAGGATATACCATTCATTTCCCTCGAAGAATAACGACTTTTCTATACATCATAGCAACCAAACCAGTACAAGGAAGCCTCAAACTAACAAAAAACTAAAGAGTAGCGCATCTGCTTGTGCCTATGATCACTGATACATAAGCTAAAATCCACAAATTCTGTAATTTTAATCTCTTTAACACATTATTCATTTTTCAAGAGCCCAAAAGAACAAAGAGCACACATTTACAACTTTCACTGGCATACCTATTAGCTAGTGAAAGAACAAAACTAGCCCGTAGAGAAGATGAATCGAATAGCCAATTAAACAAAGAGGAACAGAGACCTGAGGGATTATGAGGAAGGAGATGTAGCTTTCTCGACGACTTTCTTGTCGCGTCTCTCCATAGCGACATCCCACTCATCGTGGCCTATGTGCTTCGGCTGTTCAATACCAAATCGAAAATCATCAAACCATGAAATTGGGATCTAATCGGATCAAATCGTGAAAACCCTAAGAGAGAGATGCAATGAAAGAAGAAGAAGAAGAAGGGGGTGAAGAGTCATACACGGCCATGATAAGCTTTGTGGATGTAGTACTGAGAGTTTCCCATGATGCATAGCATCCCTCCGATGATTCCCAGAGGCAGAGCTGCTTCTAGCCACACCAACGACATCTTCTTCTTCTTCTTCTTCGTCTTCTCTGTATCAAAGATCCAAACTTCGCCAACTATTCAATCTCAGAGTTTCAGATCACTGACTCAATTAATGAGCTTTGGGCTTTTATTTAATAAACAACTCTTAAAGCCCAATACATCTAAGTCGCTTTTTTTGTTTTCAAAATGGGATACATCATGGAGACGCAACTCTTTAAGAACAGAAAAGAGCTAAAACTGAATTCATAATCCAACCTCAAACAACCGATCAAATTCATAGATGATGATAGAGCTTAAACCAAAATTAGTAGATTTGAGAAACCCTACAACCCAATCTAGACACTAAACTACATTTCTAAGGGTTAGAGAACCAGCAAAAATGAATGAAAGACTCTGCCAATAACTATTATCGCCACACTTGCATTAACGCATTTAAACACGGGAGAAAATATAGACACAAAATCAAACCTTGGAACTTCATTAAAGGAAAACGTCAAGAAAAAAACAGCTAAAACATGCAGACACTCCTGGATCACAATCTGTGGAGGAGAAGACAGAGGTTTCAGTGAAGGATCTTTGAATCTCATCAAAGATCTTTTGAAGTGGCTCTCTGTTTTTGCCATTTGTTCATAGGTACAAAAGAATGCCATCTAGAGTTGCAACCTTCTTCAGTGATCTTCATTTCTTACAAAACACACACAACTTATGTTTTAAAATAAAACTAATCCCATTTCAGGTTCATCCTCATTGTATGAGCCAATTCTACTGCTAAGTTTTTTTTGTTTTTCTTGATCAACACTACCACAAAATTTAACTCATAAAAGTTCTTACTCTTACATTATGAATGATGAAAGTAAGAAAAAGATCCTCAAGTAATATAAGATAATTGTCAAAAGAGTAGCTGTTGCTTTTTGTTTTGTTTTTAGACTCCAGTAGATTAGAGCTAAACAAAGCTCTATCTACTTGATCTCAAACTAGAACATTATACCCAAATTAGCAGAGTACAATGCACCCTTTTTTCCACTCACCCTAAAATCAGACGACGTTTGTATAAACACACGGCCATGAAGTATATAAACTAATCTTACAACATAGAATAAGAGAGTGCATGTGCGCACAAGAGGAGTCTCTTAATCTCACGAACTCAAATCATCTAACAGCCTCAGGTGCAGAATTACAGTAAGGAGTGTGCAAGCAGACCAGTCTAGTAAAAGTCAGACACACAACAGCACACGCAACTCCCAGCACCATCCCCACACTTCCTTTCTTTCTCTCTAACCTCACCGCTCTCTTTATCACCTGCCAGAAACTAGGCAGCAAGCCACCGCACGCCACCATCATCACATGGTCAAGTCCACTGTAATCTATACCAGCTAGTATTGATCCTATGGCCGATACAGGTCCCACGAACCCAACTAAAGCTGCAGCTGCAAGAGCTGCGTGCCAGCTGTCAGTAGCTCCAAAGACGCAGCTTGCAACCGCTGTTCCTCTTGGGAGACCGTGTAAGGAAACAGGGAGTACCATGTGTCTGCCTAGCCCATAAGCATTTGGAGCAGCGACTCCGAGAGCAAGCCCCTCAGCTAGTGCGTGGAACCCAACCGCTCCACAGGCTAATAATGACTGGAGTGTTATCGCACTGGTTGGAAAGTTGGTTCCTGGGGTAATCAAACTACCACCCCGGGACTTTTTCCGAGATGTAATATTCAGGATGGTTGAGCTTATGAAATGGCTAAGCACAGCTCCAACGGCGAGTAGACTAACAAGAGGGATGAATCCCATTTTTGCAGATAGCAGCAGTTGAAGCGGACGCCAGAGACCGAGGACAAATGCAATCCCTGAGGCTACTCCCATGAGAAGGGCGTGCTGGAGACGGAAGGTGAGTGCCGATGCAACTAGAAACACTCCACCAAGTAATGGGCCTAGACCAAAGAGAAGTGAAACGAAGAAGCCAGAAGCATCCTCTGAGCTGCAGATTGGAGAAAATGAATCATTTAGTTAAATTTAAGAACACAATCAAATAACTTTTACTTGAATTCCATTGTTTTTACTTGTAATCATGAGTGAAATTCTCGAAAAGAGTGCTAAGAGCTTCCATGGATGCTACTGATATTGTGGCCGAAGATGCCACTTGCGAGGGAGACGCTTCCTGTTGTGGTTACAGAGAAGAGAAATTCAGTCAGTCATCTTCCTGAGATATAAACATCAACAACATGCAATTCACCTTGAATGCATCAGGAAGCACTTCAGCAATAACCATCCAAATCATACACCCAGCTGCAAATCCAGTGCAGAAAGGCAAAAACTTGCTAAATGCATCAGCACATAAAAAAGCTGGCACTGCAACAAGAGGCTGGCAAAGAATACAGATGAAACAAGAATCAGTAATCTGTTATGCAGAAAAAGAATTAAGATCACAGAAACATCAAGAGATTACCTGAGGTAAGGAAGTGATTATACTCCAGAGCATGGCGTTTTGTGGAGAGACACCTCTTGATGCAAGCACCATGCTAACAGCCAACCCTTCTGGAATATTATGAACGGCTATGGCCAAAGTGACCAGAAGCCCTTGACTAAAACCTTTTGAACCAGCAAACGATACACCAACCCCTGATCCTTCCCCGAAAGAATGAAGTGTCATAATTCCTATGACGAGAACAACTTTCGCTGCATCTGCACCTTTAATATCCAGCATGCTAACTTCACCATATTGTTCAAGAAACTGCACAATGTAAAAGAGTTTACAATTATGATATTTCACACAACTTGGAAGACGACTAATGTAAGAGGAAACTACTAAAGGCAAAGAATCAGTTCCACGTTACCTGCTTGCAGAGCCAAATGAACAAAGCACCAGCTAGAATCCCAGAAACAACCCAGTTTCCAGAACCATGCTCTTGTCCCTCCTTCACAAGATCAAAGCTAGCAGCCAACATCACACCAGCCGCCATGCCATTGCATATCCCAGCCCATTGAGGGTCAAGCTCAACAAAGAAGAAAGGCACTGCACCTAACCCAGTGGCAGCAGCCATAGCCAAGGTGAACAAAGCAACTGTTGAGACAGAAACTTTGCTGTGACTCCCTCTCTTCTCACCCATTCCAACATCATGTAACGTTTTCTCTACACCACTTCCATCAATAACATTCCGTCCCATGTTTTCATGAGGAGAAGCTCTTACTTTATGTGAGATCTCCCATTGAGAGTCTGCGTCAGTGTTCCCAATGAACACAGCGACAAATAAGAATAGAAGTAGCATAAGCTTTATGCAGCCTGAATCCTTCATTTTTATGCAGCGACAAGGAAACCAAATAAACTCTGAAGCTTTTCGAATCAAAACGGCATCAAGAAGATGTCACTGTTTCCTGTTTTAACACATCACAAGAACGAATTTTCAACTCAGCAACTGTAATTACGAAAAGAATCTCAAAACTCATTAACTTTCCCTATGTGATCAAAACATAGTCTTTTGGGTGAAATCATTTAAATCAAATAGAAACAACATAAACCCATTAAAACAATTTGCAGAGAGAAAGGAATTGTAACATCATCCAGAAACCTAAAACAACAAAGCAGCAGCCTTTATCACCCAAAATCGTTACCCAAATCACAATTCGCGAACCCAATTGCATAATTTCGCGATTCGATCCACCAATCAATAGATTCTACGAGGAACCCAGATCGCAGAACTCACCAGCAGAGGATAAAAATCGGAGCTTTGGAAAAAATGTTGGAACCGTTGTAACAAGAGCGAGATTCAAGCCGATGAAGAGGGGATTGTAATCAAGGAATGATTGAAAAGGTTTGGACTGCGTTTGATCCCTTCTCGCTTAGGAGACTTTTGGGATCGATCAATCATTCAAGTAGTCCACAGAATTAGCCCACAGATTTATACATTTTTAACGAAAAATATTTAATATTTTTTACTAAGATAATTGTAAGTAAGACCCTGAAGTTTGTTAATCTCTTAAAAGAGTCGGTAATTCTGTAAAATCTGAAATTAACATCCAGAATATCATATCTGTTAATCTTGAGTTCACGTTATATAACTTCTTTGGAGTGGAGTACATACTTCATTGACCTAATCATGTCCAGACCAGTTGATAAATAAGTAACCATACTCTCTTGTATGCGATATTTTACTATAACATCCTAATGTAGTATGTTGCCGACTTGGGCTGGGCACAAAATTTGAATCCGAAAAACTGAATCGAACCTGATCCAAAAAGTAATAGCAGACCTGAACCAAAATTTGTTAAATATCCGAACAAGTTCAAAATTTTGGTATCTAAAGAATCGAAACTGAACTCGATCCGAAACAAAATATTTTGGGTATCCGAATCAGATTTATATACTTGAATATATTAGCCACTTTTATATTTAATATCCAAAAAAATATCCAAAATGTATAAGATATTTTGAAGTTGTCTAAAATATTTAAAAATTTATGCAAATAGTCAAAAGTAAGTATCTAAAAGAGTTAAGCAATACTCAAAATATGAAAAATACTTAGAATCTATATTGATTATCCATCCAAATATTCAAAATAAACCAATTTTTATGTTAAATTTAGGTATTTTTGCATACATTACTCAAATTTATATGTTGGATATTATTTTTATGTTTAGATTTTAAGAAATTTAAAGGATATATAAATTTTAAAATTTTTAAAATAATTTTAATTTAGTTTTCCGAATCCGAACCCGCAAAGATCTGAACCGAACTCGAACCGAAATTTATAAATACCGAATGGGACTGAAACTTTGAACCCCAAAAATCCGAAACCCAAATAGATACTCGAACGCCCATCCCTATTGCCAACAATGAAATAAAAAGCTAAACATCATCAACTTTGGCTGATGAATGAATGAAAAGCATGAGAAACTACAACAAGAACATACCAAAGCAAATCACATTGATGCATTATGTGATTGAGATATATTTCCCTAAAAGTAACTCTGTCCTTTGCTATTTGTTTTCCCTTCTTTTGTGGGTTTTGGTCTCACAATGAATATAGTTGTTCATTTCTCAGTCCATTTTTGCTTGAACAAGTTGACACTGATTTAGGACATATATTACATAATTTACATTCGAAGATGTGATGGTTTATCATTGTTGGTATTATTATTTTGATGATTCAGAGAGGCTTGAAGATACAATAATCATAAAACCATAAATATACACCAATAAAAAAACTTTCAAAACATTTTTTTTGTTGATGAGTAACAGTATACATTAGGTCTGGTGTGTCTCGAAAAATACTCGGATCCAGTTATGGTACCGGCTGAGTTATGATGCTCGGTTCTCATTATATGGTTGACCTGTCCCTTACCTATAGAATCCTGCAATCATATAGACATATATATAAGTTAACAAAACATGCTACATCACAAAGAAAAGATCCCAAAAAGGTGGGCTAAAACTAAAAGCCATAATTCATCTATAACGTAATGATTTAAACGGAGAGGTTTAAAGAAGACTGCCACGAATAATAGACCATGAACAACGTTAAAATGAAGCCAAAACTACATTTCCTTTTAAGTTTTTAACATATACATAAAGCATACCCTATAATGGAAAATTGATCTATAAATTATCAGTTTGAAGCTATAGCGATTGTTATATATCATCGATATGAGCCAGCCACCAACCAATCGATGTCCAGAAAAGTGAATGAACGAGTAACTTCACTCTCTACTCTTGTATAATAATTTTGATTCTATACCCAAAAGTAACAATTATGTGGTATAGAAAGCTACACGAGTACGCATGATAAACGTTAGCTAATGGACATGCATATAAATGAAAACCATGAGAAACTACAACAAGAACGTACCAAAAAAACACAGTGAGTGCATGCCTTAAGTGATTGAGGGCTAATGTCTATCCCAAGAATAGATTCTTTAAGTTCTGTCCTTAGCTATATGTTTGCTCTTCTTTGGTGGTTTTGGTTTGACAACGAATTGCTTGCTGAATTCTCAACCCAATATGTTAACCAAAAGTAGGTAATAAGTCTTTTGCTTTAACAAGTTGATAATGTTTTTTTATCATGTATGGTTTTAATTATAAACGTGAGATATTACTCTACTTTGAACTTGGTGCAATATAATTGAGTGAGCTGCAGTAAAGGGAATATGTGTACGTCTCAAAGATAGACCAGAACAATAATGTAGTCTTTATGGAGTTCCGTGCCGCACTCTCTTTAGCTTTTCTCACGTACCTTGTAAATCATTCAAATATAGAATATGCATCACTGCATGTTTCTTTCTTTAGACTGAGTCACATTTAGGTCGGTAGTAAAAAGACAAGAAAATAAAGTCACCGGGAGGAAGGAGTTTGGACCAGGACTAGCCGAAGCTAATAATATCTGATGATATTGTGTAAATCATCCCTCTAAAAAGACCCAAATATGGCACAATAGATATAAGAGCACATTCAATGATGTTACCACCATTAGAATCCTTAGCCATTAAAAAATTAATTTTCTATTTTTAGAATAGTTAAGAATTCTAGCTCAATATGTGTGTCCAATGGTGTTATCCATTATAGAATCCTTTAAAATTTAAAATTATTAAAATTGTAAAACATTTAAATTAAAAAAAAATATTTATTGAATGATTAAATTTAAACATACAATAATTATACATCATCAACATTACCAAATTTGTTCCAAATATTTTCAACCGAATCATTTTTCAATTGTTCATGTATACGCCTATCATTTATAAGTTGTTTTTTTAAAAAACTCATTTGTAAGTAAAGATCGTTTTCTTTTTAAATTATTGAAATCACGATATTTATAAATTCTAATTTTCCATGTAGTAATGCATTAGACCTTTTCTATTAAAGTTTTCTATAAAGCTATAAGCAAGGAAAAAAAAAGAGATATTCATAAAATCACCATTTAATCTTTTTTTTTTTCACACGTATACTAGAATAATACATATGTATAAGATTTAAGAAAGCAAACAAAAAGATGGATGATTCTTCTCTTCCTACGGCGACTGACACGTATTAAGGATTCAATCCTTGTACACCTTATATAAGGATTCATCGTTAACTCACAGAACATGCATAATATTATTAAACTCCAATTTGCATTGGTTTCAACACTAAGGATTTACTTAAATCTCGCGTTGCACCTACTCTAAGAGCATGATTAATTCCAGTCTTTTAGACATGTTCTTAACTCATTATTTGACATTTGTTTTCTTTTACATTTTTCTTTTCGGTTAAAAAATAATTTTTATATTTTTTGAGAGACGGTTCTTAGATTTTCTTAATTAAAATTTTAAAGACTAAAAACTATCTCTTAGACGAAGCTAAGAATCCCAGTTAAAAGACTGGAATTAATCATGATCTAAGTCCTGACACTAATCATTATCCCAATGCACCATTGGTAAAAAAAAAGTGTAAACTTAATATAGGTAACAAGATATACTTGTTTTTGGGTCAGAACGTGTTTCGGGAACTTTCAAAATTACATAGCCTCGGCTTGATTTAGTTTATAACTTTTTAGTTTGTTTAACATCCCCTAAAGGAAAGTATTTACATTTTAAAATAAAAATGATCAGAACTATTTCCCTTTATGTCTTTTAGTAAATAAAGGCTTTCCTCCTTCACATCACTCGAGAATCTTTATTCTTTGATACTTTCTTTTACTTGTCAAGAACAGCGTCTGTGACTGCACACAAAGCAAAAAAATCATAGAGATAGAGACTCTTGTGCTCTAACATCTCAGAGACAGTATTGTTTCCGTTAAAACGAGTCTACACACGATCTGGAGAACGATACAGTGTGTGATTCACGATGGCTGGTATTTCAAACAGACCTTTATCTCTATCTTCTTTCTCTACCGGCTCAACTCCTTGTACCAGTCGCTCCACTGCTCCTCATCCTTCCTTCTCCACCTGGTTCGTTTTCTCTCTGCATCCCAAGTCTTGTTGTCTCTCTTTAGCTATACTATACACCATCTGTTTTAATAAGATTCATGTTCTAGAAAAAAATATTTATTTCAAAAAAATATATTTTTATATTTTTAAATATTAATGATAAATTGTAAAATTAAAAAAAAAACTTAATCGTGGTTTATTAAAATTCCATTGGTTAAAAATTATAGAAAATTGTTAGCTACAAAAACTGATGCTTTGGTAATCAAAATTGTATATTTTAAACAGAGATAATATTTATTTTATTTTTGTTAAGATATTAATTATGAGCATAAACAAGTGAAACATTGATATATAATTCCAAAATTTTAGAAAAAAAAATATACATAAACATAGACATAGGTAGACAAGTTTGTAAAAAAATATATTGTTTTTATTAATCGCCTACTGTCCTTAAAATATCAAGAACTGCTTTCGCTAAAATATTAACAAACGGTTGAGTTTAAATATATAAAACTATTTGCAGTATATTTTCTGATGTTGCTGGAGACGTCACTGTTGTTGTAGATGGAGAGTCTTTTCTACTCCACAAGGTTAGTGAGTGCAACACAAACTCTTTTCCCTATTAATTAACAGTTTTTTGAACATCACTCCAAAAAAAAAACATTGCAGTTTCCATTAGTAGCTCGGTGTGGGAAGATAAGAAAGATGATGAGAGATCTCAAAGACACTTCTTCTACAAGTATTGAGCTCATACACTTCCCTGGTGGACCTCTAACTTTCGAACTCGTCATGAAGTTCTGCTACGGCATCAACTTAGAGATCACTCCCTCCAACGTGGTCAACCTCCGCTGCGCAGCAGGTTACCTAGAGATGACCGAAGACTACAAAGAAGACAATCTCATCGCTAGAACAGAGAGTTACCTCGACAAGGCAGCTTTCCGCAACTTAAAGAAATCAGTTCAAGTGTTAACCTCATGCGAGAGGCAAGAAATGTCTGAAACGTTCAAGATTCCTGACAGATGCGTTGAGGCTATCGCTATGAACGCTTGCAGGGAGCAGTTAGTATCAGATTTATCAGAGGAGGTCAAGAGGAGAGATTGTCTCGAGTGGTGGATTGAGCAACTCTCTTCTCTAGGTATTGATTACTACACAAGAGTTGTGTCTGTGATGGCTAGAACAGGTGTACGGTCCGAGAGTATCGTTGCTTCTCTGATGCATTACTCTCAGGAAACGTTAAAGGGTGTTGTTGATCGAAACTCTCATGAGCAGAGAGAGATCGTTGAAGCTATTGTAACTCTTTTGCCGAGTGACGAGAGAGGAACAATCAACATCCCTCTCAGTTTCCTTCTTGGGATGTTAAAGATTGGAATCACGTTAGATATAGAGATCTCTTACAAGCTTGAGCTTGAACGTAGAATTGGTCAGCAGTTAGAGAGTGTGTCGCTTGATGATCTGCTTATACCTTCTGTCGGAAACGAAGGTTCCATGTACGATGTGGATACTGTTTATAGGATACTATCATGTTTTCTTGAGAGGGTTGATGAAGAAGATGAGGATAGTGGTTATGATTCAGACTCCACTGGTCATCACCATGGTGAGTTGCTGAAAGTGGGAAGAATCATGGATGCGTATTTGGCTGAGATAGCACCGGATCCACACCTGAGTTTACACAAATTCACAGCTTTTATAGAGAGGTTACCTTATTACGCACGGATCATGGATGATGGGATCTACAGAGCTGTTGACGTGTATCTCAAGGTAAGTGTCTCTATAACATCAAAATAATTGAATGAAAATATCTTATGATATGCACACAAGAGAAAAGATTCCATAAGCATCAATTGAAATTTCAGAATACAATTTTTATTGTACATTTAGGTGAGTTTAGTGATTACAGTTTACAATTTATGAAGTGGAGTTAGGGTAAAAAATTAGAGTAATTTAATCATTTATCATTCTAAATAATGTTATTTTGAAGATTTTTAAAGCCAACGTTGTCATAAATTTATTTTTGAGATATCTACAAAATTTTCTCATAAATGAATTAGTTACATATAACTAAATTATAGATAGGAAGTTATTTTGTAAATATTTATACACATACATGAACACCAAAATCACCTAATTTCTTTATTTTTTTAATTTTGGTCTAAATTTCATGAGAACATATGATTAGACTAATAATAATTGAAATGTGTATATCATTAGGCTCATCCGATAATGACAGAAGAAGAACGCAAGAGTCTATGCAAATTCATAGACTGCAACAAACTATCACAGGAAGCAAGCAACCACATGGCACAAAACGACCGTCTTCCAGTGCAAATGGTGGTTCGTGTTCTCTATTCAGAACAGCTGCGACTGAAGAAAGCTTTGTCGGGAGACTCAGAGGAAAGTGTGTTGGACATGTCTTCTGGAGTTCTAAACCGAGCGGTTTCACCAAGGGACAACTACGCATCGCTGAGGAGAGAGAACAGAGAGTTGAAGCTGGAGATAGCGAGGATGAGAGTGAGAGTTAGCGAGTTAGAGAAGGAGCAAATGTTGATGAAACAGGGGATGATGGAGAGGTCTGGTAATAATGGTGGAACGTTCTTGACGTCGTTGTCTAAAGGGATTGGGAAGATTGGGATATTTGGTGGAGAAAACCGGCAGAAGGTTAACCGGAAAGCCAGGTCAGTGTCGGAGAGAAAACCAAGTCGAAAGGGGTAGTAGAGATGATGATGGTGATGGTGATAACAAGTGACAAGTCGTTGAGTAGTGTGAAACATCAAGGTTGCTATCTAAGAGAGACAAGAGTCACATGTAGAGGGTCGTATAATGGACCGATAAAGTGTGACGTAGGCCTATGATAGGGCAAATGAGGTATCGTTTTAGCCTATAGAAAACAAGGAAAACATGGGGTGCCTTATAATTTTTGGGTTGGGTCCAGGCCGTCTCTATTCTGTTATAAAAAGGTACTAGAGATAGTTTTTCCACTGGCTATCTCATATATTCATGCTAGTATAATTCATTTTATAATATAACTAAATCTAGACATATAAAAACCAAACCCAATCTATACATATAGCATATGAGTTTTTTCATATGTTCTGTAGAATGTCTAAAATAAAAATAAAACGATTCTTGACATGTTACATTTTACAAAATTCTTAATGTTATAAACATGAGAGATTCTTTTCTACTTTCAACATTAGACATATAATAAGAACAACTAATGTAATAGCGGATAAATTTGTATAAGGTGCCCAGAATTCCTTTTCAGTTGTAGTCTATGTTGATTCCATACTACCGATTTGGTTTTTCAAACCAATGGACCTTTTAATATAGTTTAGTTATTGTCGTAAAAAGTAATAATAAACATGAGATAATCTAGGTATAACTATTCACAATTTCATGCTATTAGTTTTTTTTTCACTCCAAAATGAGGTAGACGAAAAATATACTAGTGTTACTAAAGGTCTAAGAGTCTGACTGGTTATAATGCAATCACTGCATTTGCAGTTGTGAGCGTTGGCAGATGTGAGAGATTTCGGTTTCAAGCGTTAATAAGATATTTAGACGACTGATTCAACGGTTAGAAATTATTGCATTTACGGGATACTTATAACTGGTTTATTATCAAATACAACAGCAGTTAAGTAACAAATTAACAATATTATATTTTATATAATTATTAAAATATTAAAATCATATTTTAGTAATAAATATAAAAAATATTGATAAAACTGTACTACTAGATTTTTAAAAAATAAAAAAACTATTTTTTGGAAATTTTATAATATAAATATTTTGATATATTAATTTTAAGTGAATATTTTATTTTTATATTTATATAGGTTTTTGAAAAAAAAAAATTATCCTCCTGCAATCGTTCGCAACCGCAAACGCTAGCTGGACCAACTTTTAAATTTTAGAGATTCAAAACGGTTTATAACGTTTTTTTATGAGTGTTGCAAAACGCCAACAATCACTATCAACCGCAAAAGCTACGTTTGCGGATGATGGCGGGTTTTGCGGTTGATAGCGGGAGAACAAGTCAAACCCTAAAAAGATAACCAATAAGATGTGTCGGTTACTTAGTTATGGCCTATGGGTTACCATATTATCAACAAATACTTTTAATTGTATTTGGTAGAGAGAAAGAAGAAGAAGAAAAACTGGTTTTGGTTTGTCAATAAATCAAAAGTGATGGTTAATAGGTATTTGGTAAACTGTAGTATTCTAATCTAAATGTTAGTTATTGTAAACCGTACTAACTAGTAACTACATAACCTGGTAATAACAAATTAGTTGAAACTCACCTTGTCTATATTTACTCTAGTTGAGGAGTGATCCAATAATCAAATATAGAAAGAGACATGAGTCTTCTTATTGTATAAATAAATTAGGAAACTTCCTTTCTTTCTCCGCCTCATAAATAAATTTAAAAGAAATTAAAAAAGGGAGAGCGCATGATTGATGAAAGAGATGAACATGCAGCGTGATTCCATTAGATAGTATTAGACTTCAATCATCTCTCAACAACTTCGAAGTGACACATTCATATTAAAAACACACATTGTTCCTTGTTTGTCTCTTCAGATCTGATTCTCTCTTTCATCTCTCTCCAATGGCGTAGCCTGTAAGAAACTCTCTTATCTTTTTCAGCAACAATGAATAGGAATCTCAGAGAGTCTGTTGTCGGTGGGAGGAATACTCCGGCTGGGATCTCTCAGTTTCGCAGAGGCGGTAACAACGGCTTCTCTAGAGATTCTGAGGAGAATTTGGATCTTTTCTCTAAGATCCGTAGCTCTTTCCCCTTGTCTTCTTCCTCGGATCAGTCACCCGACGGTTCGTTTTCAGATTAATCTTCCTTATTTTTTTAGAAATTTCGAATTTCCAAAAATATAAATTTTTTATATCTGAGGATTTTTTTATTTTTTTTTAATCATTTGGTGATTTTGTATTACAAGACACAGTTAGTTGTCTGGTTTGTAGAGATGAAAACGATGTTTAATGGCTTTGTGTGGTCTCTACACTAAAAATTTCGAACTGTCTTCGTCTCCTAGGATTCGATCTCTATTGCTTTCACTATTACCGTGATTTGAAGAGACAGGGCTGTCTTAAGACATGAAGAAATTGTTGGATCTTGTTTAACACATAAATGTCTAAATCTCTGCGTTTTTGTTTCTAACTTCAGTTTCTGCAAAACTCGGGAGGCTCTCTGTTGGATCCAAGCCAGCTTCTAGAGGCAAAAGTGGTGATGATCTCTTGTCCTCTACTGAAGCAGGCAAAAATGATTATGACTGGTTAGTTTCTTCTTCCCCAATCTCTTGTCACTGACTTGCTTTCATATCTGTAGAATGTAGATATGCTAATGTTTTGGTACCTGCACTTGGGAGTGTTGATTTTTTCTCTTGTTTTTGCTTTTGGGAGTGTTAAAAAGTCTTGTTGGTACATTCACTTTTTACTCTAGGCTTCTTACTCCTCCTGGAACACCTCTTGGGAACGATTCTCATTCATCTTTGGCACCTCCAAAAATTACATCTTCCGCTAGAGCCACTTCTGCTTCAAAGGCATCAAGGGTATGAACTAAACCTCCTTTGCTTCTAGATCCTCCATGAGTTTATACTTCATTACTTTCTTTGAAGTAGAAACTGCATTACCTTATACATTTATGAGTATACTCTTCTTTTTTTTGGGTTCATTTACAGCTTTCGGTTTCACAATCAGAGACCAGTTACCATCCCTCACGTCCTACTAGAAGTAGCTCACTGACTCGCCCATCCATTTCTAACTCAGGCCGTTCACCATCTTCCATACTCAATACTAGTTCAGCATCAGTCTCATCCTACATCAGACCTTCATCCCCTAGCTCCCGTTCCTCGTCTTCAGCTAGAACTTCCACTCCCACTCGTACTGCTTCTTCCTCATCACGTGCCTCAACTCCATCAAGAATCCGTCCAGTGTCATCTACTTCATCTATAGACAAACCCAGACCGTCCTTAAGCTCTTCAAGACCATCGACTCCAACTTCTAGAACCCAACAACATACATCAAACTCACCAAACATGGTTGCCTCTAGACCAAACTCTCGTCCTTCAACCCCTACTCGTCGCATCACATCCACTTCAGCATCTCCAGGTGGACGTGTAGGAGGAGCAACAAATGGTCGTACCGCACCTTCATTGTCTAGGCCAAGCTCTCCTGGACCTAGAACCCGAACCACCACACCACAACAGGCAATGATTCCACCAGATTTCTCTCTTGATACACCACCTAATCTCAGAACAACTCTCCCGGGCAGACCAATCTCAGCAGGCAGGTCTAGGCCAGTCGCAACAAAGGCAAGTCCAGAACCCAAAGGTTCCTTGACAAGAAGGAACTCATCTCCTGTTGTAAGCAGAGGGAGACTCATAGAGACACAAGGAAAAGGTCGTTTGAATGGTAATGGACAGCAACACCACACAGAAGCACCAGAGCCTCGAAGGATTTCAAATGTTTCAGATGTCACTTCACGGAGAACCGTGAGGACTTCTTCAACTGTGACGGACAATAACAATGGGCTTGGAAGGTCATTCTCAAAAAGTTCACTTGATATGGCCATTAAACACATGGTACGTTTTATCTCTTGTGCATTTGAAGTCTTTTATCATGCTGTTAATACCTCTCACGTTTTGATGGTTTGTATAGGACATAAGAAACGGGAAGAGTAACGGTTGTGCACTATCAAACACGACGTTATTCCCTCAGAGCATCAGACAAGCCTCGTCGAAGATTCAGCCAATCCGTTCAGGGAATAACCATTCGGATTCTGTTAGCAACAACAGCGCAGAGAATGGGAATGAAGCAAACGAGGGAAGAAGATTGATGGGGAAGTTGAGTGACAGGGACATGTATGAGAGCTCAAGGTATGATGCATTTCTGATGAAAGAAGACGTGAAGAACACAAACTGGTTACATAGCATTGATGATAGGTCGTCAGAACATGGACTCATGTTTGACAATGGAGGGTTCGAGCTGCTTCCTGAGCCTTTTGCCCCACTATAACACTCACACACACCACAAGTAAACAACGTTCTTTCTTCTAAAACCATTTCTTTCTTTTTTTCTCTCTACAATTTGTTTGCTTGTGTAAAGGTGTGGAAAGAGATAGAGTGTATAAATAAGGCTCTGGTGGTTTGTAACTTAGTCTTGCGTGGGACCTCAACTTCTCTCTTCGTTGGAACTTACCATGTAAAGGATCTATGATTATTGAAAGAAACAATTAGAATGTGAAAGAGGAAAGAAAGTTACTTCACACGGCTAACGTGACTCAGAGAGATAACTAAGTTAATAATTGAGTGACGGCAAAGCTCAACAAACAACGCCAGTAGTTTTTTTCTTCTTTTATTCTGTAAAACTGACTTTCATTATTGACATATTTGATATTGAAGAAGTGATTTCAATTATGTTGTTTACAGTGTTACTTCTATATCATACCCTCGTTAATGTCACAGACAAAATCAATCCCTTCAGGCTCTGTTTTAAGCAAGATAATACATCTTATACATCTTACCCGGATTAAATTATTTTTCACTTGTTTCATATCATTTTAACATCTTTTTCTTGTTGCACAAAAATATATAATTCATAATTTTCATTGACTATTATGCATATTTGAGTCTAAGATACAAATTGTAAAAATGTTATTTTAAAATAATTATTTAATTATCATATATAGCTGTCGGCTACGCTCAAAGTGGTCTTAAAATTATGGGCTTAAGGTTATGGGCTTAAAAAATGAACAATCTGAGAAAAGATGGGCTTTTGTAAACCTTCTGACCAAATCAGAAGCTTCGAGTATTATTTATTCGATTTCTCTTTGCACGCTATTAGTTAGAAAGGAACCTCATCGGTTTCAGATCCAATTTCAACAACTTCGACTCTTTAGGGTTCTCTGATCACTTGTTGTTTGGTTCGTAATCTCCGTGTTCATCTTTGTTGTGATATAAAAGCAGGTTGCTTAAAGCTTTTGTGCCTTACTATCAGTTGTGTCGGCTTGTCTTCTTGTGCAGGTTTTGCGTGTGTCTGAACCATGGCTTCGAAGAGGATTTTGAAAGAGCTTAAGGATTTGCAGAAGGATCCTCCTTCTAACTGCAGCGCAGGTAAATATTCTCACCAAAGATTGAACCTTTCTCCTTACTTTTCACTTACTTTGAATGTAAAGTTAGTTAGAGTATTGATAAAAATCAAATACTTTGAATGTAAAGTTACTGAGGGTATTGATAAAAATCAATACTTTGAGTTATTATGCTTTTGAATTTTGGTTATAAAGCTTTGGTTTTGTTAGTCTCTTTGATTGATTTGAGAGTTTGTTGGTTGTTATATGCACTCAACATCATCAAAGATTCTCTTAAAATCTTTAAAGAGTGTCTTTTTGTAGCTTCTGCTAATATGTCTCTGTTGATGTGTTTGTGAGGTCTCTATTTGAGGAAGAGATTTTGAGTCTTATGTGTAACGTTTTTTTTTTTTTAAATTGTTGTGTAGGTCCTGTGGCTGAGGACATGTTCCATTGGCAAGCAACTATCATGGGACCTCCTGACAGTCCCTATGCCGGAGGAGTGTTTTTGGTTTCTATTCACTTCCCTCCTGATTATCCCTTCAAGCCACCAAAGGTTTGATATTTATTTTTTTTGTTCTCAGTAACTAAATCATCTGTTGCGGAATCAAAATTTTGTAAATAGCGATCGTATGAATGTGTGTGATTATGTAGGTGTCTTTCAAGACTAGGGTGTACCACCCAAACATCAACAGCAATGGAAGCATTTGCCTTGATATCCTGAAAGAACAGTGGAGTCCGGCTCTTACCATTTCCAAGGTTTGAGTTTTTGTATAACTATTACCAACACAAAGAAGACTGTTTCAGCCAGTTATGTCTGTTAATGCGAGTGATGATGGATTGGTGTGGAATCAGGTATTGCTGTCGATTTGCTCGTTGCTGACTGACCCGAACCCAGATGATCCACTTGTGCCAGAGATTGCTCACATGTACAAGACGGATAAGTCCAAGTACGAGTCAACTGCCCGAAGCTGGACACAGAAGTACGCCATGGGCTGATAAAGACTCAAGTGTTGGTCGAAGACAAGCAAACATCATAACGTTATCTCGCATCTAAATATATTAAACTAAAAAGATAAAATGCATTTGTTGGGTTTTTTACTAACGCTAGTATTATGTTATAATAATCCAGCAAACTTATATGCTCTTTACTCTTCTCTGCTAATCAGCTGTTTTTAAGTTTAGCACAATTCTAATTAACAACGGCATTGACCGTGTCGCCAGCCTTCATGTTGACTTTTTGAGCAATGTAGGAGGGTAAAACTGTAATTACGAGGAATGAGGAGGGGGGCATTTGGGTCTGACTGGGTCAATAATAATGGGAGGAGAGCTTCTTCTCCAATGAACGTTTTTATCTAATTTGGTATCTTTTGATCAAAAAAAAAGAAAAATCTAATTTCGTATCTTTCTCATCATAACGACGTCGTTTTGATCATTTCATTCTTAATTCCTCTCTCTTCCAAAACAGCAGAAAATTTAGGTGTCGTCGTCATTCTCTCTCTCTCTTGTTCTCTTCTTTCTTTCTATCAAAAATCTTCAACCCTTTAGCCTTCCTGATCGTTTCCAACCTCCAAAAGGTCTCCGTTATTACCGTTTCAGATTCTATTGGTACGTTAAATTCTATCTTTTCGTTTTCATAACGTTTTTCGAAATTCGATGAACTGAAAAGTTTCCTCTCTTTATTTTAATGACAGGGACTTATAAATAACAAAAAGAACAAGATTTTGTGTTTCACACATCGATTTTTCAGATGGGAAGCTGTGTCTCTAAGGTACGACATGAAAACCCTTTGGTTTGGTTCTTTCTTTGCTTCTTGTCGCATGAATGAATAATTTGATTTTTATTTGTTCTTTTATAATGATGCGATGGTACGTAGGGCAAAGACGATGATGATTCAGTCCATAACGTTGATTTTGCCGGTGGCAATGTTCATCTCATCACAACAAAAGAAAGCTGGGATGAGAAATTAGCAGAAGCTGGCCGTGATGGCAAAATAGTAATTTCCCCCTTTCATAATCCTCAATATGTAGTGTGTTTTGTGTTTTTCTAAATCTTATGAAATAATCAGGTTATTGCAAACTTCAGCGCGACTTGGTGTGGGCCTTGTAAGGTGGTGGCACCGTTTTACATCGAGCTCTCTGAGAAACATCCTTCTATCATGTTCCTTCTTGTTGATGTTGATGAACTCTGCGTAAGTTACCCACCATAGACTCTCTTTCTCTACATAATCTTCAACTAAATCTTAAATTTTTTGTTTTATTTTGTGACATGTGCAGGATTTTAGCTCATCATGGGACATAAAGGCAACACCAACCTTCTTTTTCTTAAAGAACGGTCAGCAAATAGGGAAGCTTGTGGGAGCTAACAAGCCTGAGCTACAGAAGAAAGTCACTTCCATCATTGACTCTGTACCTGAAAGTCCACATCGGCCTTGAAGCATATCCTTGTGCCCTTTCTTTCACGGTGGAAATGTGTTTGTCGGAGTTGAAACATGAGTTTCCAGGTTATTTGCTTAAGGACAAGCTCGTTCTTCATCCGGAGAGTATTGATATGCCAACGAGAGTTTATATCTCAAGAAGGAAGAGGCATATCAACGAGGGAATGATAAAGAGAATGCTGAGTTTACAAGTCAGTTAGAAGATTGTAAACGAGTCTTAGTATATAAAGGACTCGTTAGTTGTTTCTGTAATTCATTCAGAAGGAATCAGTTGTGGCTTGAGATCTTGGTTTGTGAGATTTATGAAAGGCTTAATACTTTGATTTGTAGAGTCTAAGAGATGGTGGTTGGGAGGTTCTTAATCTCAATACATACAAGTTCTTATCATACATATCACGCACTCTTGTGGAATTCAACAAGAGAGAAGAGAGATGTAAATGGAACTTGGACACTAGAAAATCCAGCGAGGCAAGCTAATACCTCGAACTCTTTCTTTGTTCTTTCTTTCCCAGATGGGTTCATGCTCGTCATGAACATCTCAAACTGAAACAAGCTTCTGTGTAAAAGTGTATCTCTAGGAAAATCCGGGACTACCATATCGATCACAATCACCTTACCATTTTCCGGTAGCGATTGATGACAGTTTCTGAGTATCTTCACGCAATGTTCATCGTCCCAGCTATGGAGTATCCACTGTTGTAGTTGTAACATAACACACAAGAAATCCAATGTTAGCTTTTTCTGTTAAGACTCACGAGATGGGAAATTTCAATTGAACTAACCTTCATGAAAATGGCTTCTCCTTTAGGAATGCTTGTAAACATGTCTCCAGCAACATTCTCAATACCTAAAAACCCACAATATCATTGCACCATGCAACATAATATTTGCAAGAATTTGTATTATACATACCTGAAGAAACTGGTGAAGTGTTGATAACAGAGGACAAGTCAAAGTTAATAGCTTTGATGATGTGAGGATGCTTGGAGATTATTTTATGGAGAATAGAGCCATCTCCACCACCAACATCAACCAATGACTTCACACCATCAAAACCCTTGTACTTATTCACAACGTCTTCCATGAAAACTTCATTGAAACCTTTCATGGAGCTTTGGAACAGTTCTCTGAATCTTGAATCTCTGCCGACCAGTTCGACTGCGCTCGAACCATGAGCCTTGTTGAACGGAAGTCCTCCTTCAAGAACAGAATCTTTAAGGTTGTACCTAAATAAAATCGATAGTTACTCAGATTACTTCAGGACAGCACAACAAGACAGAGGAGGGCATCATGTATGTTTCAGATAAAAAAGAGTTTAGGATGTTGTTAATGAATTTACCAGATGTCAGTCACGACCTTGTCCTGAAACAGATTAACCAACGGAGCCAACGAGCCACCTAAACCTGGGTTCATGGTGAAGTACTTGGCAACAGGAGCTAAGCCGTAGACCTCACGTGGCTCGCCTTGGTCAGTGGAAACAGAGCAGGTGAGTATGGAATAGCTCGCTAGACATCGAAGAATCCGCTTGAGTAAGGTTGAATCATGTGTTTGAGTAGACAAGAGAGACGTAATCTGAGAAGCAGAGAGGGGAGAAGAAGGGCCAGACTCGGATAGGATGTTGAAGAGGCCTAGATCTATGGATGTCTTCAGAACCATGGGAAGAACAGAGGAGCTTGATAAGATCATAGCGTACAAAGAAAAGTTTTCTTCTTCCATTTTGGCAACTGAACCAAGAAGAGAAAATTCATGTTAAATGAATGTTCATTTCTTTTTATAAAGAAGAAGACGTAATAGCTTCTAATTTGACAATTCTGACAAGAAAAAAGAGACCGTGGGTGTGAATATTCTTCGGACTTTATTCTATACTAGATCGTTTCCCCGGGCTACGCCCGGGTTTTTTTTGTAGTAGCAATTTCATTTATCCCGAGATTCTAATTTTTGGTAGGAGGCGCTTTGTTCGAAAATCTTTTTCTAAAATTTGAGAAATGGTGGGCGGAAGATATTGTATTGTCAAAAGCGGGTAATGAGTAATGTTCGATGCATAATGAAACATAAGTACTGAT